TGCTAGTGCTACTGTGTTGTTCTAGCATAAAGTGAACAGGTTTTTATGCTGATGGTTTCCAAGGTCAGTTAAGTAGCATCCATACAAATTGCTGCATTGACTTCAGGAGGATAAAGGTAAGCAAAACTATAGCTACATACCAAAGGCCTTTCATGAGCACCAGTTGAAAATAGTCCCAAACAACTTGTGTAAGTAGCTAGCTAGAAGTTTATCTTTCAGAATGAATTAATGGCAAATAGAATGGCTTAGGTCTTTTTCCCTCCTCTATTTACTCCATAAAAATAAGAACTCAGATTCCCAATTTCAATTTTTAAAAGGTACTCATTTTCACAGAACAGAGTCCTGGCAGCACTCGTTTTCCTCTTTAAATAGAGGTATTGCCACACTGGTGAATATCTCAAGCATCATCTATGCCTGCAGCTTCTCAGAAAGTTCCAAAATGTCTCTAATGAGCGAGTGGCTAATTATTTGACCCAGTGGAAGGGTTTGTTCCTCCTCATTACTAGGAATAGCAAATCCTTTTCAGAATAAACCTAATATCCAGGTTTCAATAATACTACATGTCAGAGAGCACCAGTGGTTAATGAGACAAGATTTTGAAATGTTCTTTATTTTCCCTTCTTATCTTTATTATAAACATATTTCTTACCTTCCAGTGACACTGTGCTTCCTAGTGAAACAGAAAATGGTATCATTATCTGTATCACTTTTACCAATTTACAAAACCTTAGTATTTCCTCTATTCATCTTTTTTCCTGTATGTGCAGTACAGCTCACTGAAATCTCTCTTGTCGCTGCCCCCATTAGTGTATTGATTTGTCATTGTGCTTCCTCTGTTTCCACTAGATAGCTTGAGGGATGGGTGACTAAAACTAAGCAATGTCCCAAAAGGATAATATGGGATATTTTCAGAAATCATTTTCTGCTATGTGCTAAGTTATAGTTGAGGTTACTGAGGGACTTTTCTCGAACTGGTCATATTTCTGTTCAGAAGACTGCAGTCTTGGAGTCCTGACAATTCATTTCTGTGTGCATTAATTCACATTTATCAATATAAACACTGAACCTGAACTCTCTCCCTGATTTTTCCTTTAGGATATAACATAGATCTGCTCACTCTTAGGTATCTTTCAGGAATATATGCCTGTCTGACTGGAAGAAGTACCAGAAGCCATATACATCTGTGCTTGCATGACTACTCATGGCTCTTATATAACAAGGTATAAAAGTCAGAGTTGGATGCTTTTTCTTTTTTGGTCTTCATGTCAAGCACTTCATCTTTTTGAAAATTATGCCAGGTTTAAATTTTCAAGGGAACTTATGTAAAACAAAGAACAATATAAAATGTGAAGTAAATGTAACAGAATATTTTTGTAAAGATTCTGCCAAGTCACAATCCTCTTTTTCTTTCTTGAATTTGTGACTTTCAGCTTCTATAGAACCAGCTTGTTTTTCCACTTCTGTGTTTCACTTCTGTTCTGTCTCTTTAGCAATCTGCCTCCAGCAGGACAGTGCAGGCAGTTTCCTTGCATGGGCCAAGGACTCTCTGACTAGCTTTAAACAAAACAAGTCAAAGATCCTGAGGTGCCCTAAGGCCAAGGACATGACACTGCCCATGTCCTTGTATCTCATCTTTCGTCCCTCAGCACAAACTGGTGATGCCCAAACTGCATTTGAGAGCAGTCTCAAGCACAGCTGGACCCAGCGCTGTCCCTGGGAAGTCTCTGGGGCTGCTGGTTGGCAGAAGCCAGCACTGCACCAGGGAGAGTGCTAGCAGACCATGTCTATGGCCCTCACAGTACTTCAGCCAGGGTCCCAGGCCTATTTCCTACTATAAATGAAGCCCAAATGCCTGAGCAAGCAATACAAAGGAAAAAGAAAACTGGTTCTCACTTTTCTTTTGAATTAGTTTAAATTACAAAGGAAGAAAAGTCATTAGAGCAGATCCCTTTCCTACTGAAATGCCAGGCTAGGAGTCTCTGATGCACGCAATTCACCCTTGAGACAGGAGGAAAACTCTTCATTTTCTGACTGTAGTTTCAGTCCTTGGATGGCCTAACCCTTGACACAGCTTCCAGAAGCTGGGCAACTACTTTGCTTTCTGCTGCACACTGCCATGATAGCCTCAGGTCTGTTAGAGCAGCTCTGTCACACCTCTAGAATAAAAGACTATTCTAGAAGTAAAAGAACCCTTGTCTGCTCTTCTGGGTCACTTTTTCCCTGCTGTGTCTCAGCAGTGCAGGACAAGCAGGATGAGGGCAGCAGGCTCAGCTGCTGGGTTATGATAAGGTTAGGGGTGGATGGGAAGATTAAGAGGGGGTTATTTTGTAAAATATCACTAAGCCTTAAACTGTTAAATTGCTAAAGAGTGAGACCTTTATATTAGCTAAACACTTTGTTTTGGGTGATAGGAGGAAAAGTTTAGCATACACTAAAATTTTATTCTTACTCCAAAAGCTGCAAATTTTGACGTGTGGTCCAGGAATAACATGATCTTTTTTATGCAAGGGGTGTCATGGGTGTCAAAAGGTCCCCTTCTTGCCTTAAAGATCAAGCTCTGGGAGCACATGAAAGTTAATTCCTTGGTCCCAGCAGCTTGAATCAGATTACCAGAGGCATGTACCTAAATTCATGAAATTTAGGAGCTTCCTAAGGAGAACATGGAGCTATTCTAAGTGAGGCAACAGAAAGTACTAAGCACAGGAGTAGACCCAAGGATACCCCTCCTCTCTAGAGTTCATGCACTTCCCTCTGAAAAGCAGCTATGTGAAACCCAATTTTGATGGTGTCCAGGATCGAGCTTTACTGTTTCATAAGGCAGTGGTTGCAATAACTAGCACTTGTTCAAAAAGGAGATACGGGAGATTCAAACATAAAGTGTCCTGACTGTGGAGGTAAGGTATTCTGGCTGCAGAATAACAGTGGGGCTGTGCCACCGTGTCACTGGGAATGTGGGAGTCTCGCCACCAGAAGGAGAATCCCAGCTGCTTGGAGATATCATTTATCACTGTCTCTGAATTGCTGCAGAGCAGTAGATGGAGCCGCAGATACAAGTGCCTATACACGTTTACACTTGAGAAACACTGCAGTAGAAATGCAGGCAGTGTATGGGTTTAGGCATCTCCCCAGTTGTGTAACTGCTGCCAACATTAGCTTTTTGGATTGCTTTATTGAATACCTAAGTGAAATTCCTTTTTAGTCTTTGTTTACTTTTGCCCCAAATCAATTAACTGCAGCTCCACAGGGTTTGATTTTCTAATCCAACCATGCTCAATCATTGATGTAAACCGAGATTTTTTTTCTCCCCTTAGATTCTTTTCTAATGGCTTCTTATTTTTTCCCCTCTAAGTGTGTGGCTGAATTCTCCACATCTATTTATAAGGGCTTCCCCACTTCCAGGAGTGTTTAATCAGAGAGAATGCTATCAGCAGGTGGTTAGCATCAAATGTCAGCAGCTACTTCTTTTCTGACATCTCTTGGGAAAAAAATGTTTCATTACCATGCAAATGATGTTAGTCTTCCTTTGCAAGATCCATTGTCACACAGTGTAACATATGGTACACAGAAATGTGCTCCCAAAATTTATGCAGCAACTACATTTTGTAACAAGAACAATTTTGAGAGCTAAACCATCAGATAACTGTCATCACTGTTTCCCAATGAGATGGTGAATATTTCTGTATCTCATGGTTACTCTAACTTCAGTGGGGAGACACACACACTTAGTTCTGCTTTCTTTTGAACCCTTCCATTTTTCTTTAGCTTATATCAGAAATAACATGGTACCTTCAACAGCCTACGCCAGACAGAATAACCGAGCAAATTTAACGCATTCTATTATCTTTTTTGAGTATGTCTGGGATGTGAATTGTTCAGTTGATACTTGGAGTGCCCTTGTCTTGAACTACACAAAGAAAATGAAGCTGCTAGCCTCTCTTGAGAATTTTCAGAAGTGCCAATAATGGCAGTTGGAACTCAACTTTTCCAAGGGCCCTGAAACCCAGTAAGCAGACTGGAATAAAACTCTGAGGGGCTTGATTCATTAGAGCACTGGAGTACAGTTCGGTGACTTCAGTGGGACTTCAGGATGTGTCTGGATTTAAGCATATGTTTGGGTGAATTGTTAACCTCAAGTATGTGATCAAGTGCTTTGCTGACTCAGGGACCAGACATCCCTTGCAGCTTGTTGTTTTCCACTTTGCCATCTGGGAAGAGGCAGCACGTGGGCTGTGTGAGACATTGCATTGCTGAAAGGGTATTAACAACAGCCTTGAAGTTTCCAGGTTCTCTGAATAAGGTATTTTTGTCTCTGCAGATCTAACTGGGGTAGAATAACCTCACTGTACTGTCTGAAAGAAAACTGATCATGCCACAGCATTCTGCTAGGTTATCAGTCAATCTATGCCTAAGTAAAATAATCTTATGTTTTAGTGGAACAGTAAGAGACAAGTGAAAGCCTGCAGGTTTGGGAGCATGAAATTGCCCCTTTCAGACATTTTAGGACATCTCTTTTGTCAACTGACAACTGTAAGAACCCAAATTTGCAAACACTTTTAATCAGTCATCTCTTCACTAGACCCGTTTTCTGAGCTGAGGGAGCACATCCATATTAATATGAAATAAATGTTTTTACAGGCTGTTCAGACAACAGACTCTCTTGCTGTAGCCAGGTAATACAAAAGAGTGGGTTATAAAGACCTGTTATTGCATTTGTGGGAGAAGTGCAAAATATCCTGATCCCTTGGTATTCTTGAAATGATTTTAACTTCCCAAAAATACTAGGGGTTCACCTGAAAAATCTCCCAAATAACTCCCCCATCTGTTCAGCACGCAATCTACTTCTCTAATCCATTATCCTTCCAGTCTGCCATCTCTTGACTTAAAAGCTGTTTATGTACTGTTGTGCTACTTGCATTTCTGATGAATGCTTGCAGAGGAATAAATTATTGTAACAATATACATTTCTCTGTGGGTACCCTATTTTTTTTATTCTTTTCCAGTGACAAAATGTTCCCAGCCTTTGGATTTGGAGCAAGAATACCCCCAGAATACAAAGTAGGTGCAAAAATGTAATTTTCTAGTTTCCTTGGTTTTTGAGACACAAAATAAGGGAGAAATGGCTCAGTGCAAGGCAGGGACAAGGGGAAGCATCTCCTACCATTTTCTTTCATCTGGCTTTCTCACTCATTGATACCTTGCTGAAACCAGAAATCAAGGCAAGGTTCAAAACAGTTGTTTAACACCCAAAATATTTCATGGTATTGGCAAAACTTTGTTAGTGGATGCTAGTCTAGTAAGAGGAGAACTTCTTTTTTGAACAACTCTTATCAAACATATTTTGAAGCTTTGTGAGCCCTGGTTTGACGGAACCCATTTTTGGAAGATGTGATTCAGTGAGCAGCCTAGTGTTCATGCTTTGTAAGGAATACATTTAACATCTTCCTGAAAATAAAGACTTTAGAAGAGTTTTGCTGTGTGGCACGTTTCTGTGTCATGGTGGATGTCATCAATGCCAGAAAGAGAAATACAAGAACATGTATCCATGCTGGACAGAAGTGTTATTTGTAAACAAAACAAAATGAGAGTGATCCACAGTGACAGTGCAATTGTGAGCATAAATATACAGTCTGGTAGGGCTGGAGTGAAGACAGTGAAGTAAAAGAAGGAGCATCCAAAAGAGAAAGGCCTAAGAAGAAACAGGTAGAAGTTCAAATCCTGTGTTGCACATGCAGTAGTTGGGCAGAAGAGTAGCTCTGCATAGATAAGTAAGCAAAAACTAGGTGGGGGTTCTGTAACACATATCCTCTCTAGAAAAGAAAAGCATTAGACTTCTGATCATGCAGACTTCATCCAGTATCCCCATGTGCCCTGCTCGAAGTTGTGTCTCAGCTGTGGCTGGAGCAGGCAGGTGAAACACTGGTCAGATGAGAATTTTTGTGCAGAGAGGGATCCTGTGTCATTCAGCATGAATCAGCAGATGAAAAAAATGCACCAAAAAATACTCACAGCTTGTGGGTTTGACACCTGCAGAAGAAGTACAGCAGTGATGTGCAGCAAATCTGATACATCTTGCAAACAGATGTCTAAGGTAAGTTAACATATCTCTTTACAACATTGCTTTCTAAGCTTTTTTGTGCCTGACAAGATTTTTTGCCTTGCTGTGTTCTTCAAAAGTAACACCAGGCAGAGACAGCTTCCAGAACCTTGACATAGATTTTAATGTGGTATATGTGCACAGAACATCTGTGTCTGTTGTATGTCTGTTCCAACTGCAGCAGCTGACAACCATCTCTGCTATATAAGGGAGAATGTTTTGGAGAATACACTTGATCAGGCCACCAGACACATTAGTGAAACACGGTAGCTACTTCTCAAGCTGCCATCCCTTTGCCATGAATATGTGCAACCTTACCTGTGATTGAATCGCAGAGTTGACTGAGTTGGACCGTGCGTCACAACATCACAGCCCTTTCAGCCCAGTACTGGCCTCCTCTGACAATGCCATATGTACTATTGTGTTTGTCCTTAACAAAGATACCAGCCTGGTGGTGTGCCAGGGGCTGGTTTTTCCATCCTCTGCAATGTGACCATCATTGCCTGGGGGAAAACTTGCAATTCTTTCATCTGTAGAGAGACATTCTTATCTAAGGACTGCTTGAAGGAAGATGTTACTGTGCCAGCAAAAGTCTTTTCACTGGTTTGCTGGTGATGGAAGTATAGTAAAGTTCACAGCACAGAATTGCCCTTCTCAGCCAAAATATTCAGCTGGTGGCATTGATGCCTCAGGTCACACAAGCATATTGGCAACATACCAGTTTTGTTAGACCCCAGCAACAGCTTCCTCACCTGACTGTGAGAGCATATCTCAGGTGTTAGCTGGAAAACAGATGTCTTGCCAGAAAGTAACTCCAGGAGTCTCTGTAACCAGATATTCATACAATCACCAACATCAAATGATCTTCTGCTTTGGCAGAATTGGTGCTTGCACAATTTCCTGACAACTACCCTTAAGAAAGTCAGAGGCTTGCACTGAACTTAGTAGTCCACACCCAAATGAAGAGTCTTACCCCATAGCACAAGCTGTCCTAAGGAGTCTCTATGTTACCAACCTCCCAAAGCAAGAAAATGGATGACTCAGACCCTTCAGATTTTGAGAAGTTCAGGAAAAGTAAGGGTAAACTTCAGAAGATGGGGCTACTTGCTTATGGATTACATATATGAGTCCCACAGAAAATGGAGATGCAAATGAAGGCCAGAACATCTTTAATCTCTGCTATGGAAACTTGTGACAGAAAGTGACAAAGATAAAATGACATGACATCAGCTTACCAACATAATAAAACTTTGAAGAAGATAAGAACCACATTGCAGGGGACTAGCCATTCTGTGCAACAGATGGGAACAAATAATCAGCTTGGTGTCTATCATGGGCACATTCAACTGGAACTGGATGAGGAATCAACAGTCATCTGTGCTATTTTTCAGTCCCTCCCTGTGATACTCTACTCAGTTCATAAAAGTCTATAAAATTCTAGTTTCTTAAAATAAACTATATCAACACTTTTGAGTCCCTGCTTGCCTTTGACTGAACTTCTGAAATGAAAAATACATCCTCTTAAGAGTGAAGAATCAGCCTCATCATGATGCATTAATACATCAAGACCAATAAACCTGAAAATCCTTTAGTAATTTAGTCTACACTGTTATAAAGTTAATTCAAAGTCGCCAATGATTAGTGTTTGATGTGGAAGACAGCAAAGATGCATAGGAAACAGAGAAGAAACTGATATAATTAAAAGTAACAAAGACTGTAGAAAAAAATGCTCACAAGTTTCTTCCTTAGCTTCTTCTGTTGCAAAAATATGATAACACTATAGACACCACAGCAACACTGTAGATCTTGTGCTATTCAAACGTTCTTTTCCTATTTTCAGTTACAGTTTTTATTTCATTAAAGGAGAGCAGTGTTATTACTGTAATAATTTACATCTTCAGATTTAGATTGAATCATTATGTGAATTTCTAAGTTCTGACCCCACCATGTGGATAAATCAGCTTTTTGTTAATTTAGTGTCTGCTTTTAAGCCTCCAGCCCTAGTGCTCATAGCACATTTATCTCTGCATTCCAGCATCTGGTCTTTTATTTCTTCTAGTAGACAACAAATTGCTAGGGCTGCAGAAGAACATATTTCCACTGCCACAGGTTCCTAAGTAACCACGAGAGCCTCCATACAACCTAAACAACAAAGCTTCTTCGCGAATAATGTCAATATTCACCTCTAGAGGCTATCCATAAATCTCTTGAGGTTGTACACCTTTAAATCATGTTTTTATATATATTTTCTACAGAATTTTCATTTCAAGAGCACACTGCTTTGTTATGTTGACTTCATTTTCCCTCATTTGAGCTCCAAATGATACACTTCAGCTGTTAGAAGAAAACCAGCAGTTTCTTAGTGGCATAAGGAATCTGTGGGAGTGAAGGAAGCCAGACATGCCATATATATCATTCCTCATCAGTCTAGAGATCTTTCGTCTAATATTCAGCAATATGATCTTTTTCCCCCAAGGCCTGACAAACACATCACCCAGCTCCTTGATTTAAGTAAACCCGTGAGAGAAATATTCCCCTCTTACGTTTCTATCATACAAAACTTGCAGAACATGCCAGTTATTCCACAGCAGTGCCTATAACCTATCCCATTTTTGGGGGGTTTTTTTGCAATGAGAAGAAGCGTCTGAGAAGTCTGATGTAAAGTGAAGAGGTGGTAGATAATATGGACTCAGACACTGCTGTGAAAGGTCACAGTGAAGAGGAGGAAAGAAAGCTAACCACACACACTAACTTCTTAGCAGGCAGAACTCAAAAAAGCTGAAAAACCACTCAGCATCACAAAACTTATTGTTAAAATGAAAAGAAAGTTCCAATTGTGTCAGCCCCGTGATTGGCATATTGGCCTTTCTTAAAGATGAATTGCAGACTGACACCTGAGTAAGTACTAAACAATTTGCAGTTTGTTTTAAGATAGTCCTCATTATTTCTGCATTTTTACTGAAAGCTTCATTCACTGCTTGTGCTGTGAATGTGTGGTGGAGAGAAGCTCACTACAGTTACAGAAACAGTACAGCATCTTCACAACTGCACTGTCTGGTTTGCTGGACAGATAAGGGACTTAAAAAGTGCTGTGGCCTTTGTGATTCCTGAACTTTTCAGGAGCCTGAGGGCAAAAATGTATGCAAACCTGACAAAAAAGAAACAATAGAAGGATGTGTAACAGACCAAGGGGAAAACCACAGTTTGTCACCTTATCCACATAACTTGGATTTGGACATGGAAATTAGGCAGCATGCTCAAAAATCAATTACAAAGGAAAATAAATGGCCCAGCTTTGCCAAGCAGAAATTTCTACAATGTGATCTTAGCAAGAGACAGAAGCTGTCCAGTTCCCAAACTATTTGATTAATGAGCATTCTGAAAATAATAGCTTTTGAGCAATAGTTCTTTAAATTTGTTAGTGTCTTAAGCTTTTGCAAAATATGCAGGCATTCCATATTTAATTTTCAGACTGGCAGTGTCTTAATAGTGTCCAGTTTATTCACAGAAAACTGTTCAACATTGTGCATCTTGCCATTTACATTTGTGTGCATCTATTGTTCATGGATTTTTGACAATCTCTATTTAAATTATTAAGAAAGCATTCCTAAATGCATCTGAATTTGTCAGATTGTTTGTCAAGTAGTTCTAGTACCATCACCATAGAGGTTTCTGGAAAGCTGGAGATATTTGGGACAGGGAGGTTAATTTAAATGAATTCAACAGTCTAGAGAGGGAGAAAAAGGATTACTAATTTTCAGAATTCAGGCATCCATATTCAGCACTTGGAAAATAAATGAAAAATGCAGCTTTTTACTTAAAAAATTCAGTTAGAGTAAAGGGGTTTATAAAAATGTGGAGGACAAAACAGAATAACAAGTTTCAAGAAAATTAAATAAAATGATTTTGAGTAGTCCAAAAGCTTGACAGCAATTTGCATTATGAATTATTGGAGGTTTATTATTTGTCAGATTCCAAGGTAGGGTTTGAGGTTTCTACCTGAGTCCAGAAGACTTTTTTTTAAGAAATCTCAAAAATTCTTATTAATTAGGAAATTCTTCTTTCCTTTCAGCTTTAATTAGAAAGGTTTTTAGAAACCTTCATTCTCATGCTATGAGAATGAATTTCATTGCATCCCAATATGAGGGAAATGAGTTACTTGCTACATTAAATCAAGGTGATTTTTTTACTAAATTGATCATAAGCCTGTGGAACTATGGTTATGATTCTTCCAAGAGTCTCATGGGGGCCATCACATTGACGGAAAACTGCAGGTGCTTGTCAGTACAGACAATAGAGGCATCATACAGTGGCAAAAGAATAATTCTATAATCCGCCTTAGCAAAAATATTTTAGACTGTTTATTTAGTTGTCACATCCTCAGAAATGCTGTCACTGTAATCTCCATCTTGATTGTAGAGCTACTTATTTTCCTTGTTAAAAACCTTGAAGAAATTATCTGGAAATTAATATGTTCTTGGTGCAGGAAGTTCCTGGACAGCTGTGGTTTAATAATCCCACATCCATGATGTTACCTGCTAAGTAATGTATCTGGAGCTCTGCAGAGGGAAAAGATTAATACGTAGCAAAGTGCAAGTAAAGGGCTTTAGTTAGAGGTTTTGAGTGCTGTTTTGTGCAGCAGCTCAGGTAACACCAGGCTGATCACATGTAATCACCTCTGCACACCAGAATTTCTCTCTCCTTCCCTTTTATGGATTAATTTGATGGATTGATGTTAAGGGGGGAGGGCTGAGCAGAGCATGAGCTACATACTTGAAACTTAGTCCGGGGTTTGTGACACACTCAGGGTTTTGTGAGGATATTCCTTATCGTGAGGCTGACTTCTACCACAGACCATGGTCTGCAGTTCTTTGCAAAGTTCTCTGTGCCAGGTACTAATATAAAACAGTCATTCTGTATCTGTGTGACTTGACATATTCCAGGATTTCCTGACTGTTAGATTGATCCATAATACAAACTGCCCTAGTAAATTATATAAACATGCCTGCTTCTAAACAGCCAAGTGTCTTCTTGTTCCCCACGAGGATTTCCCAGTCTTCAGTGTCTTAGGTGTTCATACTTTTGCCTCCTTTTTCCCATTAGTTTATCAGCTCTGGGAGTGCCTAAGGGCTGTGTAATTCAATATCAGAAAGGTGCCATTTAGTATATACCAGCTTTTGGTCCTCTGTCATAAGCATGGTTTGCCTTTCAGTCACATAGCCCTTGCATGTTTAATTAAAAAAAAATAATAATAGAAACCACCTTCTTACATGGGTGAGCTTTACATGGAGTCCCATCAGGTAGCAGTCTGAGTTCAGTGAGGCTTTCAGTACATCACGTGCCCGAAGTCTGTGCTGGTTTAGACCCCCTTGAATTCTGGCCACGACAGGAGAGATAGCATGGGGGAAGGTTGAAGCGCAGTTGGTTTTACTTAACAGAGTTGGAATGAGTTCTAAGCATTTGGAGAAACTCTGTTTTAAAAATATCTGCTGTTGGCTTGCCTCGGGTGATCATTTCCTGTTTGTGAACCATCACTGAGCTGCTCAAAGAACTTCTATCCTTTCCATTATACTTAAATCTTGTTTAAGTTGTGATATATTGCTCAGATAGCATAGGAAACAAGCTATTGCTTCTGCACATTTGTTGTGTTTTCTGTCCTGCCTTCAAGGTACCTTCTAACACTGTTCTTGGTGAATCCGAATGACAATGAATGAGAGCCACTTGCTTTAGGACAATAGCAGCCATTGCTCAGACAGTATTATTTTTTGGATCATTGCACACACTGACTAGACTTGGGCATTCTTTATTGGCCTGAACCATTGTCTACATTTTTCTTAAATAACAGCCTGGGTGCTATAGCTCTGAACCAGATAAATAGTTTGCATTATGTGATCCTGAAAGAGGTATGGCAACAAAAGCATACAAACCATCCAAACCATGCTTGCATGTGAGATTAAAATACTGTATTCATAGGTTTGGAAAAGAATTGTGATTCTCCTTTAGGTATAATTTCAAATGTATTTGGACTAAAAAAATAAAATCACTGAAGAGGCACAGTGTTGGAAGAATCAGCCTGCATACGTGCATTGCCATCTTTCTTGCTTTTGAGATGCAGTTAATACAAAATACAGAAAGCCTAAAGGAAGAAGAAAGACTACTGGACAACAAAAAATATCAGTGAGTGAAAACTCACATAACAATTCTTGACAGCTACAATTACCTTTGGCCTGCAGCTGGTCATGAGACTGGCAGATACCAGCTGGGCAAAGTGTACCAGGAGATATCCAGAGCAGCCAGACAGAAGGGTTCTGGAGCACCTCTGTAGCGTATCTGGCAGCCCTGATCTTCTGTGCCTGCTCTGTGAGGAACATAAATAGTGACTTTCATCTTCCATGACCAAATAGGATAGCCTGAATGGTCCATGTAAAATCCTCTTCAAAGAGTCAACTGATGTTGGTGTAGGCATACTGAATTCCTGGCTCGGCTGAGGTGGCTGCAGACTTCTTAGTTTTTGCTTCAGTCCTTTCCCATCATGGTAGACGTACTGCCTTATTTAACCTCTCAATAATGGTAGGCATCACTGTGGTGAGCAAGGCCAGGATATGATGGGGAAACTCAGTTTCTCTGTGAGAAACTCTGAGGCAGTAATTAGCCAACTTATACCACTTCAGTTTCACAGAAGCTTCTCTGTAATTACATATTTGATCTTTAGGCCTCTTAGTCATAGATCACTTTCCAAACTGTGTTGTCAAGTCATGTAAACTAGCAAATAAAATAGCAACATCCAAGAAATAAATCTCTTTCTTCCGATAATCCAGGTTCCATCATACAGGGAGTAAAATTGCTTTCCATATCACTAGGATTGTTGGCACTTTCGAAGGTCCTACAGAGATCTATAAAGCTTTTACAGTTACCTGTATAAATGCCTTCTTTAAATCTGGGATGATATGCCTAACTTCAATTTTAAATTATGCAAATCGTCTGCTAAACTCCTAGCCATATCCACTTTTTGGAAGCCAAATATATATATATGTATATATATATATATACACACACATTCACACCTTATGCATTGCAAGACAAAATTTGGGCTTCTTCATTCAAGAAAATTTAAGACAAACAGAAAAGAGACTGGGCTTCAGAGCCCAAGAGATTAAAAGGAATCAAACCTTCTCAATGATCAAAGAAAGAAGCAAAAAGGAATCTGGAAAAAAAATGCAGGAAAAAATAAACTTTAAAACCAGAAAAGAGCATCTGAAGAAAGTTTCAGCCTCAAAAGATTTGTGCTGTGAGTGCAGATCTCTGATAGACAGAGGAAGTCTATAACCTGAGACTTATAGGGCTTTGCATTATTGAGACATACAGAAGTCTTGTATTATTTTCCCAGAGCACTAAAGACACAAGACATTGCTTTATTAGAAAATAAGCAATTTTTTTATTCATAGTCATTTCTTTTAAAAAAACAGCTCTGCAGTGTTTTATTATAGACATAGTGAGAGAGAAAGAGATTGGAATATTCACAAAATTTGAGGAAAAACGAGTCTTCAGGGTTTTTTCTTATTTATTTTCCTCCAAAATAATCTAATTTCTTAGCCAGCTTAGACTCCTTGCATTTCTTATGCTATTATTTCACAGTGGATCTAGGTGATTTCCTTGGTATCTCTGGAGAATTACCTTCCCAGTACTCCTGTGGCCTTAAATGAGGAACTCTTTGCACCTGTGAGGACAGAACGCAGAAGTGAGCTGGGTTTCTGCTGTCAGTGCTGTATCACAACCTGCTTTGTCTCTCCTACAGTTTGAGATGCTGAGCTAGGGAAAGCTGGCATTTAAATTGCCTCAGCAATAGATGCCTCTTCTGTGCCTGGCATTGATAGTCCAACCCTGACACCATGTGATTTATCATGTACTTGGGCAGTTTTTCTTTGTGCTATTTTTTCTTGGGGGTTTTTTTGTTGTTATTGACATGTTTGTTTCCAGTTTTGCTACTTTGTTTCTGCAGGGAGTTCCAGCTGGGACTGTATTTCACACTTAATGGCTGAAAGCTTGAAAGATGTCAGGTTTAACACAGAAAAAATGTAAAGGGTGTTTAACCACAAGTCTTCACGCAATAATTTTTCTGAATACAGTCTCCTTCTCTTCTTTCCATATATCTGCAGGTCTCTCATGACTTTGCAATCAATTTCAATGAAGACAACCCAGAATGTGCAGGTAAAGCTCAAATTAGGACAGATTGCTATATTTTTGCTGTGTGCAAAATGTGACTATGTTTTTTTGTTGTATCACCTGAGTATTATTCAAGGCCGTCTTTTAAAGAAAGTAGCTAGGATGTCAGACCTGACAGTTTCCAAGCCTTCAAGCTTAGCTTTAGAAACCTTAGAAAGTGCCATACAATAACTTCCTGAAAAGTAGGTCCCTTTGAAAGTACACCGTGGTGGACATTCAGCACTTGTATTTTGCAGAATCACTAGCATTTCTGAAAACTAAAGCTATGTCTTCTGAATTCATTCAAGATCTTCAGCTGCATCAACATCATAGGTTGTGTAGCTAAGAAGGGCAAGACATGAAAAAGCAGGCTGTGAACCTCTGTGATCAAAGACTCCCTTGGTTTAGAGCCAGTTCTTTGGCCAGACCATAGCAACAGTAGCCTGCTGCTTGTCAGCCCGGCAGTGTCCAACACCAAAGGGTCAGGGAAGTAGGTGAGGACTACTGTGGTAGAAGAAAAAATACTGCAAATGCAGCAGGAGGCTGTTTTAACACAGTGTAAGATATTTGTGCATTTTAGCAACAATCGCTAATCCTCAGTAGTCGGAGGCCAGATTTGTGGAGAAGATGCTGCTGTATGCCTTGTATTTGTGAGGTCTGCAGTGACTGATGCTGTTTTTGTAAAAGACAATAACAGGAAAATAATCTCCAACAGAATAACAGTTTGTTATTCTCCCTTATCCTTCTGCTTCCACCTGAATACTGAATGGGTCTTTCAAAATGCTCTTCCTTTTCAAATTCTCAGGCTTACTAGTGTCTTTCTTTCAGGCATGGTCAGCAGAACATGTTCAGGATCAGAATTAAGATGCAAAGAAATGAAGTGAGGAAGAGAGGACAAGCAATTCAAGGGAAAGATACATTAAAAGAAGTCAGAGTTCATGCATCTTAAATGCAAAACTCTGTTTTTGGTTCAGTGGGCATTCCTGCTTTGTTGTTGCACTTGGATTGTTGGACTGCCCCAGCCTCTGCAGTTCATGTGCTTAAAATGTAATTGGGCATAAGTCCTGCAGCTGCTTGATGTGTTCACACAGCTTCTTACATTGCTTTTAAGGAGTTCAAAGAAGCAGGTTACATATATGCATCTAGAAGTGCCTGTAAGCTTGTGAGCCAGCTTGATGTGGAGACTTTAGTCACACTGACGGTGTGGATATGGGGTGGGGAAAGCAAAACAGACCTCAGAATTTTGTCTGGACCACCATATTTAATAATGTGTTATTAAAACAGTTAACAGTGGTCAGCATTAGATGATAACATATTTATGCAGGTAGTGTTCAAACACAGCTTTGTTTTCCAATCTAAATTCGGCTATTTGTGACCCTCTGCATACTTCAGATAAAAGCTCTAGCAGTCCATGCAGAGAAGACTTTTTTAATCCCTCCTTTGCTACCTCTTTTGAGTCCAAGGCTAATTCTTTTACCACACTGGCGTTAATGATATAATATCATTAATCATATCAAAAATCATATAATGATTTTTATTGATTGAAAAGGCTGTCACATCTATGTAGTGCCATCAGCAGATCAGTTTGGACAGATAAACCCTCTGCAAGTTAAGCATTTACTATCCAAACCACACTGTATGCAAAATAAAATGTAACAGTGGAAACTAAAGGGATTTAAAGAAAAGGGAGGAACTGCTCTGTGAGGCTTGGCTTATGCCACTTAATATTTGTTATACGTTTAAACTTTATTTAGTTTTTTGCATAAGATTCTGTTATAAGTTAACCCATTGACTGAAAGGGGTTCTAGGCCTAAGAAAACATAAAAAGACGGTTGCAACACAACCAGAAGGCCAGGGAAGAAATTTTGCAGCATTTATCTGCAAGATATAAAAAGCACTTCTTTGTCATAAATGATACGTTTTTAAATAATATCCATCTGGGTGAAAGCAAGAAAAGGAGACAGACCAGAAAATATGTTGTTTAATCATCTGCTGCAGCTTGCTCATCTGCCTGTCGTGGATGCTTGATTAGTTCCTACCACCAATTGTTCTGTGATGCTTTCTAGATGCTCTCACCGTATTAGGTGACACAGGGAGCAGTAGCACCAGCATGTCGTGAAAAACGATGCAAGAGTGAGAAGGAGATAAAGTGCTTAGTGACTATCCTTGTGATATTCTGGCATATTTGCCAGAAAACAAAGGAAAATTGCTGAAGAGTATCTTGTTTTACACCAAGAAAAGCAGTTGAATGCAATATAAAAAGTATGTGTCTATTTTGTCTTTGAGAAATGAATTCCCTTTGTTTGTGTAAGTAGAGCTTTTGCTGGCATAAGGTAGTGTGAAGCATCATTCTGCATACAAGGACTGTGTATTGATAGGAAAATCACTGGAATTCATAAAATATGGATACCTTCACCTTTTCCTCCTCTGTTAACACTTCCATTCTTGAAAATTTTACTATTTATAGCTTTATATTTAGTATATTTATAGCATATTACTTTTATAGTCTTATAATTAATATTTTCTTTATTGTCTGAGGAAGAAATTAGGTGACAACCTCTAATCTGAATGAATGCTTCTACACATCCATCTAAAACTGATCATTATATGCATACACTGTATTACACTGGAGCTATTGAAAGTGGATTCCAAATAAAAATGTAAAGGGTTGAATTGTGAAAAAAATGCATATTGTCTGTGTCTAAAATAAAGGAGTACAAGAGGAGTAAGCTGCAGAGTAATCCACTCAAATAACCTGTTTGGTTGGGATTGGATGGACAGTAGATAGTTCTAAAATGTATTAATCGGAGATAGCAAATAAGAAATTATACTTCTAGAACATGTTTCTTTCTAAGATGAGAGCAACTTTCTGACACAAACGATGCTAAGTCTGTGTTGAATGCGGGGAATATGGCTTATCTTGTACTATTTTAATGTGTTAGAAAAAAAATTCGGTGTATCTTGTCATCAACTTAGGGAAGATTTATGAGGCCTTCATGCAAGGTCAGTAAGTATATGTAAAGAAATCCTTGGCAAGTTTAAAATTGAGAGTTAACAAAAGGTCAGTTTTGCAATATGTAATTTAGTTGGGGGAATTGCCAAGGGAAATTTTGTAACATTACTTTACATTTTAACCAATCACAGCTCTAACTGGAGCAAGTTCTTTTGTCTGTTGGCACTGCAATGCAAAAATATGTCTGTAGCTATCTACAGAGTGATAAGACTGTGTTCTCCACCATTTTTTCATGGGAGGTTTAAGTGTATCCCTGTAAAACAATTACAACTCCCTGTTCTCAGTAAACAATCTGCAGCCATATATCCTGGAAACATGGCTGAGTAAAATCTCATGAGTGAGCTAGTCTCAGTGCAAACTGAAACTAGCTTAGCATCTTAGTAAAGTCATTTCATTCTTCAGCATTCTCAATGAAGCTCTTCAGTCTATCACTTTCTTTCCAACTTTAGACCTCTAATCCGTTAGGTCTGGTAAACTGTGAGTTCTGAATGTGGAGGCTGACGTGCATCACTTGAAGAAACCCTTCTCAAATGATTGAAAACACCAATTTCTATTCTGTGATCTGTCAAGTGTGTCAGCAGGAGTCTGTGCTCCCTGATCTGACTATATCCTGAAATGATAAAGGCAAAAATAGCTAGTTTTCCATCAAAACTTCTCAACTAAAGCTCATTTTTCTGTAGACTGCAAAGCATCCTGCTGTGTCCTCCAAGATTTCACAGCTTTTGGTCATAGTCAAATTCAACCTGAGCAATTATGCAAATGCACCCTGAAAAATTTTCTTAGCACAGGGGAGTCAGGTATTTGAAATTATGTCTGAATTCCTTAACAGATTTAGCGTGTAAGTACAAGGGGCAAATTTGTTGGCAACTATCATGATAAACAAAAATACTTATCTAAAGAGGAGAGAGAAGTGTTGAAGTGTTTTTTTAAATTTTTGTCTACTTTTCAGCATGAATCTTTGCTGGTGATCAGAAAATGATCACTCACATCTTGAACTGAGATGGATGGAAGCTATGGTATTGCAAGGTGATACCTGGAAAACAGACATTAAAAACTACTAGGAAAGAGAAGCATGGTATAATGAACTCTATAATACAAACTAGATTCAAGACAGCTAGAGACAGCTTCTTGGAAATTATCTGAAGTTGCTAGTCCTTGCTAATCATGTGATACTTTTAATTTATTCATTAAGAACCTGCCTTTCATTTGCATTTTAAACAAGCATGAAGTTGGCAATGTGCTCCAAATTTACTTTTGTTTTGTGTGGCTTTTCATGCCAGGAATACAAGGTGTTGTGGAGGCTTATCAGAGCTGCCTTCCCAAGCTGCAGCTGTATGGGCCAACAAACATTGCTCCCATCATCCAGAAAGTGGCAAAATCAGCATCAGAGGAGACCAACACCAAGGAGGCCTCGGTAAGGAAAGAATGCTGTGTTTGCCTTTTTTCTTGTCTTATGATAGATCTCTTATAGGCCATCAAAACAAGGCCTTTTCATGTATGCAAATCATGCCTTCACAGTTTTTACTAACTGTTTTCATAGAAGGCAGCTTGTCCCTGTAGCTGAAGCCTTTATAGCTTCAATAGTCACAACTTCCCCCACAGTTCTATTTCCTGCTTTTAGAGCTGTTTTACTGTAACACACCCAGTTCTTCACTATGGAAATGTAAATGGCACCACTAAGGTTACAAAAATTTAGGAGCTAGAAGCCCTAGAAGTCTTGATCATACAAAGAGATGAGTTCAAATTATTCCATACACAAACTATCCAATTTCAAGTCTCTTGCAGAGGCTGTAATAAAACTTTTCTGTTCACCTAGGGGATTTTTCCAACCATTTATTTAAAAACTGTAATGATACAGTTTTCAACTTGCTATTACTGCTGGAGCATCTTGTGCCTTTTAGAAATCAGAAGTCTATTAGCCTGCATCTGATACAAAAGCCAGGACAGACTTCTTGGGCTAAAAGACTCAGCATAGATCATGCTTTAAATGTACGTCTTTGAAATGCGTGGCAGAAAGGGAGAATGAGATGATTGGAGAGAATATGTGAGTGAATAGGTGTGAAACATTTACAAAAACAGTGCTGTGGAAGCAAAGGATATAAGAGAGACCTTGTACACTGCAGCAAGAAAAGTGCCTATGTCTAGGAACAGAATAGAGCTGTGCACTGGCATACATCTCATCACCAGGCCTAAAGCTCTCTCCAAAATTTTTTTTATGTGCTGAACCTTTTTTAAGTCCTGTTAAGGCAAGAGTTCCCAAATATTTCTGTTCATGAGTGTGGGCTTTTGACTGACATTTACAAGAGCATGTAGGGACAGGAAAAGGGATAATGGCTTCAAACTGAAAGAGGGTGGGTTTAGATTAGATATAAGGAAAAAATTATATACTGTGAGGGTGATGAGGCACTGGAACAGGTTGCCCAGAGAAGGACAGGTTGGATGGAGCTCTGAGCAACCTGGTCTAGTGGAAGGTGTCCCTGCCCATGGCAAGGAGACTGGAACTAAATGGTCTTTAAGGTCCCTTTCAACCCAAACCATTCTATGATTCTATGATTGTTACTCCACTGTTGTTTCCAGGATCTTAATAGTGCTTAGGGTTCCAGTCCTAAAACGAGGAATTGCTACATTTGAATTTCCATACCCACCTAATCCTGAGGTGGCTGACTCCGTTCCCAGTGCTGCTCTGAACTAATATGTTATATTGAATAAGTTCCTTTATTCTTCTATACCTAAGCTTCCTTCCTTTCTGTCTAAAGACCAATTTATAGAATGAATGTTAAAGATTAAGTTTTCTCCCTGCATGTTTTTTTTTATTCATGATAGGATGAGATTAACAGAACAGTCTGAGTTTATATAGCTGTGTATACATAAACATTAATGATGTTTATTGTGTTGGTATTGCTCATGCAGAGTGACTAAATTCTATGACCTGTTAATTTTTCCTATTAATGCACATTTGATGAAAGACTCCACCTGCTTAACAATTCATAAAGGATCCAAGTGATAGTCACTCTTCCTCATTACCAAGTGAAGATATGTCACAGTCCATGATCCCAGTTCAGTGGGCTTTGGAGTTTAGGGAAAGAAATTACGAGCTCACAAAATTGCTTGCTCTCCTTTAGAGAATGAGAACACCTCTCCTCAGGGCTCTATATGAAGTGGTTGAAAATGGATATATTCCCACTCTGCTCTCCTCAGGGACCCCATTACTCTTCAGTATGCAGCAGACCTGCCACGGCGTGGTGCTTCTCCCACAGGCAGCAGTGGGTCAGCTAGATGGCTGCACCCATCCCTCTCACCTGTTAGCAAAGCTCCTCTGCAAAGTGCTGTCATAACCTTCCTGAAAGCTCTGCTACAGGCCTGTAACGCTTCAATACCCCATTCTTCCCTGCCTCCCACTGGTTCCAAAGGGAAAAAAATGTAATCGGAAACTGTCAGCAGAAGTGATTGTGCAGCAGATGGAAAACAGGGCTAGTGAAGATGTCAGGACTATTCCAGATTTCCCAGCCCTAGCACTATAAAACACCTTTTCTACACTGAGCATCCTTTGGTTGCCTCCAGCTTCTGGAAGTTACCTGCACCAGAGCTAAACTCCAGAAGAGAAGAAATTAGCAGCTGAGGAGGCTGGGGTAGGAAGAGCTAGATAGTCACTATAAAGGCTCTTTTCTATTCACAAAGGTACATGAGTGAGTTAACATAAACATTTTTATACTGCACAAGGTTAAGCAGCTTTGGGACAGTAACTAACCATAAAATTTTTCTCTTCTTGTCCAACAACTTCAGCAATACTTCATCTTGCTGATTCTGACGGATGGTGTCATCACAGACATGGCCGACACCAGAGAGGCCATTGTCCATGCCTCCCACCTTCCCATGTCAGTCATCATTGTCGGGGTGGGGAACGCTGATTTTAGTGACATGCAGATGCTGGATGGTGATGATGGGATCTTGAGGTCTCCCAAGGGCGAGCCTGTGCTTCGAGACATTGTCCAGTTTGTGCCATTTAGGAACTTCAAACATGTAAGCTGATTTTTCCATCCATTCCACAGAAGGGTGAATGTATATAACACATAGTGCATGTTCCCCAGGGCTGGGCTTAACTTTGCATGTGCATGCAATGTTTAGTAATTCTATGGTATTATTGTATCAGAAATAGAGAAAAAAAGAAGGAATCAGAATGAAATGTGCTCCATTAGTGAGTTGGTGAGGGTGGGGAAGGAAGACATGAGGCAGAATCCATGTGCTTTTTGTGGTGCCAATCCTTGCTTCCACCTTCTCCCAGGTTTTAGTTTGGTTATCCTTCTGGTGTCTCTTTTCCATTCTCTTTGCACCTGTTCTATTAGGACTACTGTGTTCTGCTTTCCATCTCCCTTCATTTCCGCAGGCAGATGAAATGGCTGTGAATTTGTTCTCACAATGTTCCCCAGGAGGCTGTTCCCTCATTAAAATTTAGTTCCCTAAGTTCTCAAATGCAGGACTATCCACCCACAATATCCTGGTTGCCTCCAAACCCTTTCCCACATTCTGTACAAGAACACAACCAAGAAAGTGGCATTACTAGGAGCTTTCCTGTGCCCTCAGCCAGCTGTTCCTGACTGAGCCCAGTGTGGTGCAGAAGACACTCTTTAGGAAAGAAAGGAACAGGACCAGCATTAAATTGCCAAATCTAAAACAATGCATTGGTCATGTACTTTTCTTCTCAGTTACCTGCCCTACATTGCATCATCTGCCCCAGGGACTTTTCAGCAGCAGGGTAGAGACAGTGTTCACCCACAGAAGGGGCTTTCCCACACACAGATGGGTTTTTCAGAGCCCTTTTCCTCCATATGGAGGCATGCATTATGTTCCTCTGCAACGCTGATCACATCTCTTTCCCTTCGTTTTTCCATTTTTCTCTCCCTTCCTTCCCCACACTTCTTCTGTTACACTTATGTGGTTCTCCAGACTGTTTTTTCTTGTTCACCTTTGTCTAGGAAGGATATCCTTAGTATTTGACTTGAGAATTTCTTTTCTCATGGTGTAACTGACTCACTCTGCTCATGAGATTGATTCTTCCAATCTGCTCCCATACACTAGTGATCCTTAGATCTGGATATGTCAATCAGAAGTTCTCAACTCTGGGCTGGTTTTGCTCTGCATATGGCTTTACACTTCTTACATTTCTTTAGGTTTTCTAGGCTTTTTGTTGCCATTGGAGATTTTTTTTTCTCTTTGCTATTTCCAAAATACCTTCATTTTATTTTTCTCTTCTGAAGAGTTGTTCTTTTTTCTCACTCCAAAATACAATTTTGCTGTATTTGTCTTAGATGTAGATGCACTTCTTACTTTCATAAACTTTAGTAAGGAGTAAGAGAAACAAACTTGTTCCTCTTTTCCTTCTACCTTTATGTAAACAATGGATCCCCACAGGAGGCAAAACTCACCGTGTGCTATTAGTTTGGTGACACCATGCCAAATAACTGCAGCTTGGCTACTGAATCATAGATACACATATTTCTATGCTGCCAGTGGCACACAGTCACCTATGTGCTGAAACAAATATAAGCACGACGAGCTCATAGCTTGTGATTCCTTCAGCAGATAATCACAAGTGCATAGTGCTGCACTGTAGTCTACTGTAGAAGTGTCCACAGCAGAGTTATTTATGGGCTAGTAGGTAGGCCTACTTTTAATTAGTTAAAAACATGTTTCTGCAAGGAACTGGCAAAGCCAGCTGCATTTTTTACTTTTAGTTTCGCCTTGTATTTTATACTAAAGCTCAAATCATCTCTGATTGAATAGATTCATGCTGACAGCTGCAGTTCTGGGTTCTGAATATATTGTGCCCCTGGTGTTAACTTGTGAGTGAATCTATGTGATTTTTTTTTATTGCTAGAATTGGTCAAACAACAATCTAAATCAGCTAAAAAGAATATATGCTTAACTTCCTCAGTACTGAGAGAGTATAGCAATCTTAATGTATTTTTCTTGTTAAATAGTGATATTTTTCTCCCTCTTTCAGTAGCAAAGATAATATATAGAGAGAGATAGATTTGTATTTGCTCTATCAGAAAAGTCAATATATCTTATGCAACCTGATATTAGTCTGTTTATTGTGATCTTTCAGCTTCTCGATAAATGTCAGTGTAATGAATGAGTGCCTGTAACAATAGCCACTTCTTGTTGAATTTCTTTATTATCATAGCCCAAGTAATATCTCCCTCTGAACAAAGTGACATTCACAGATATCTTGCTTACTTAGCACAAACAAAAGGCCATGTATCTTGCATCAACTAGTGAAATAATTTGTCATGGGAGAAATGAGCATGATATTTTGATTCAAACTTATTTTCCCCCACAGAAAAATGCAGATTTAACACATTTGGGAGATCCATTCTGATCAAACACAAGAATTAACATACATCAGCATATTATATTTGACAGCTTTAAGCAAAATATATATTTAGTTAAAAATCACATCCCTTTTGTCAATGTACCTTGTGTTTAGTTTATTAAGTAGAAAAAAAATGTTGCAGGATCTCTTTAGAAATATTACAAATCAAGTTGTGTAAGGTTTATAGGTTTTTCTGCTAAATCAAGTATTTATTTATGCCTAAATCCATATTATTTCTATTACTGACAGAAGGAGAGAAGAAAATGTTATGTGTGAACATTTATTTTTTGTTTTGCTGCAAGAGTAAACCAAAATTCATTTGGAGTCAATCCAAACAATATTTTTTTTTCATTACTTCAATTCTCATGACAGCTTGGAACTCAAAATCTCGTATCTATCCAAAGGGATCAAAAATAATCTATGCAAAAGCTGCCCCCATGAGAAAATGGAAAGGGGTAAGAAGGAAGTCGTAAAAATAACCTGTAGAGGTTGACATAATAAACATTGACTTCAGAGAACGTTCTTATCCTGCACAGCACTCATACAGGCATTTAACACATTTCAATTAGTTAGGGTTATTTACATACCTAAAACCTCATACTCACTTCAATGTTTTACTGGCTTAAGACTCAGTGTAGACAGAAGGTTTTATTATAGGGTTTTAATGCCCTATGTGATGTAGTGTATCAGAAGCACTTTAGTAAGGTATCTAGTCTTTTTTCTCTCTCTTTAAGGAATATCTCTAAAGCCATCAAAATAATAATAACAATTGTAGTGACTCTTGGCAAATCCTGTAGCTGTAAAAGCTTGATAAAAATCAAGGTAACCATCAACACTTAAATATATGTCCTATTGTATAGTGGGTAGCATGCAATTTGCTAAAGGAGAGCATAACAAACAAAGGGAACATATTTTCCCTTAACCTAAGTGATACTTTTGTCTCTATAATCATCACCATCCCAGTAATGTGAGTGTCCTTCACCTGAAACTGTAGAACATTGATGCTCACAGTCACTGAAATGTAGTTGAAGAAAATCACCTATCTCAATCCACTCACAGTCATATTTTAAGAGCTCAACTTCTCTGCCTTTGTAACGCATGATAGATTGACTGTGCACAAATCTGATGCCACAGATAGATTGTATTCCATTCTGCATTGTACTTAATCATAAAGGCTAACAACTGGGAGTTAATAACACCTCTATCACAGAGGCATGTGGGCAGCCCAGCTCTCAGCCACTGCAAGGAACAATGTTTTGCACTATGCATTGTAATTAAAGATTAAGCACAGTGAAGCTACAGAAATGAACCAACAGTCAGCTGTGTTTGTAATACACACCAATAATAGACTCATGGGGATTATTTTCTTGCTGCTGACTGATCTGATTGTTGTGTATTAGCTATCAGTTGAGAACTATTCACCTTGAGATGCTTATTGCTAGGATGCTCTTCCAGCAGTTTAATAGTGGACAAAACGTTACAGTAAAACATTTATGCTCTATCTGTATTAAAAAGCCAGCAAAGGTAATCCTTACACAGCACAGATGAATTGGATCTGGATTTTAGCTCAGAAGTTACTGACTCTACTTACTTATACAAATCTTGTTTTTGTACCATCTGGTCTAGAAATAAGAGTGCTTTACCACCACAAAAGTATGTAAGGTACAAATGGTCCAAACTGTCAGACAGGAAATCACCCCTAACCCTGGTTTTGGGATGCTCCCTGATAAAAAGAGCTCCAGGACCAACAAACATCACTGGCACAAGGAAATTCAGGAAAGCAACACTTGTCCATATTCAGACTGAAGCCCGGAGACAAGCCAACTACCGCAGGGCAACTCTGCGTGGGGCCACACATTGCCTGTGAGCCAGTGGGCACCATAAATGTTTTAGCTTAAACCTCAGTGAAAGGCTTTTTAGTTGAGGACTCCTCGAGTGGCAGTGATTCAGCTGTGCATCTGAGCCCTGACAGAGCCTATTCTGAAGGGCTGACCCTTTGTTCAGGAAGAATGGATATGGCGTCAGAAGAGAGAAGTGGTGAAGGGAGGAGGATGCAAAGAGGGGAGTGCCCATAACAATAACCACTTCTGGCCCAGTGTTCAGGCGTGTGAGCTACATATGAACTAGAGAAACTGATGGCAGGCAAGTGCTCCTTCCAAGCATTTTTAAAGACAGAGCAGAGTGAAGTTTCCTGATTGCTACAGCCTATGTGTGCAGGGATAGTCCAGGGCTCTTCCCTCACTCCCTGTTTCTACCCTTTATGTATTGTTGTATCTTTGGTAAAATAGCACAGATGCAGGCTAAGGTATGACATACCAGGAAGGAGATTTAAAACCCAGTAATTTTCAATAGTAATGTAGAAATAAGCCATTTGCCTGATTACAAAGGGTATTTTCTGATGATTTTAGTTGGAATTAGATGACCTTTAAGGTCCCTTCCAACCCAAACCATTCTATGATTCTGTAAAGCAGGTTTAGGCAAGAATAGGGAAACTCTGGAAAACCGTGTATTTCACTTTTCAGGATTAACACAAATGGGTTCTGTTACTGTGTTACACCTGAGAGCAGCAGCTGCACTGTCACACAAAGTATGCTCTATGCTTTGCCAGTTTGTTCATGCAGAAATGTTCCAGGCTGTTTTGCCTGCACAAATATTTTGGTATTAACGTCACAGTAGGGAAACAGCAGTTCATTTTATTTGTTACTAATACCATACATGAGTCAAATTACAAAAAAAAAACCCAAAAAAAACCAAAAACAAAAAAAGGACAAACTTCTGTTTCTGATTTTGCTAGCAGTATCTTTGTTTGATTTGTAGTATTGTAACATTTGATACTGGAATTTCTAATAGCCCTGGGGCTTTCTGCACCTATGGATTAGTGTGTCTATGAATAGTTTACATTCAATTTAAGACTCTGGAAGGATAAGAATCCCACCCCAGCAAACAGAATAGGTCAATAAACAGTCAATACAACTGCTTTGTGACAGGGTAGTTTTGAAACCTGTCTGGCAATATAACAAACAGTGAGGACGAAAGTGTACATTAATTTGGGAAAAAGTACTTGGTGTGCAGAAGAAATGTCATCCAGCCACCAGTTGAAATGTCATCCAGCCACCACCATCATCTGAGCTGCAGTCGGTGCTCTGTCTGGAGATAGATGTCAGTTTGAGAGGTTTAAATTAATGTGTTTAAGTATTTGCATTTTTACTGCATTTTTGTGGTGGGCTCAGAGGGGACATGGCTGAGCAGACTGGCTCCAGAGGACTTGGAACCAGCTCAACCCAAACATTTGGAAACAAGCAAATCCAAAATCTGGGGCAAGTGGGTGCGTGGGAGGAGTCCAGTTTTGTCACTGCTGAATTCAGGGGCTGAGGAAAATCCCTGCATCACATGCAGGTAATGGTTGCCCACAAAACATCCACAGACCCCTCTGCTTAAAATAAAGCCTTGCTGGGGTGTGAGGCAGCAAGTCTGTGTTGTCGATGGAGGGCATGGTTTCTCACTGCACTGAGGGGGAACCCTCCTCCCTGCCTGGAGTGAAAGTCAGTGGTCATCTCTGTATCCATCTCTACATTTTCAGGGTTATCAGTTCTTAAATTCTGGTTGTCACTCGCCATTTATATGTTGCAGTAAGAGCTTTAAAGCCTCCACAAAGCCTAGGATTGAAGCTTTCTTGTAACCATGGTTTAATTCCAATAAAGACAAAGTATTTTCATTGAATTAAAAAATTTCCCCAGCCATTAAAACACCATGCCAGACTCTGAAGAGCAGAATGGTGATGAAGGCCTCCCTTTCACTGTGATGTCCACTCATGGTCAGCTTCAAGCTCTGCATATTTCCTCGTTGAACACTGATGAAGTCTTTGCAGCCCTTTTTGTTGCAAATGGTGCTCTCTCAGAGTGCAGGGAAGTTCTGTTACACTGAACTTAAAATAGTCCAAACAGACCTGAAAAACATGCAGAGAACTTTTAGCTGTAGTGCACTTTCGGGCAGCCATAGCTGCATACCTAAATTGACTCATAAAATGAGTTTCAAGCAATAGTGCCTTTCACTTTGAGTCTTTTTGGCCTTCCATTTCTGTACCATAATCCTTGATCTCATGGCACCCATGCCTCTAAAACCCATGGCACTTCTATCAGAGAGCCACGTTAATGTTTGTGTTTTCTACCATTTCCTGCAGGCATCCCCAGCTGCTCTAGCAAAAAGCGTTTTGGCTGAAGTTCCAAACCAAGTCGTGGATTATTACAATGGCAAAGGGATAAAACCAAAATGTATGTCAGAGTACGAGTCTTCCAGGACACTAGCTCCATGAACCTGCCTGCACTCTTTTACAAAATTAAAAAAGAAAAATGCTACCGTCTACAACTCCTGTACTTAAAAATGAAACAAAACAAAAAAATAGCACGTTTTGGTGATTTTTAACTAAAATAACCTTTTTCTTTTTTTTTTGCATGTGTAGCCTAAAGGCTTAAATCTGTTAAGCGGTTGTATTGTTGAAAACTTTTTATGAGAAAAAAAATCCCGAAAAAAAAAGTGAACTCTTTACATTACAGCATGTCGCCTTGAAATAAAAAGTTATCTGTATCTGGTTTTTATACAGGTTTGTTGAAATTTTGCTATATTTCTTATCTTTACACTGTAAAGCATTTTGAAATATTTATTGAGAGTCATAGACAAAATGTCTTTGGTTTAATCTGCTAAGAACTGAGAGATTTTTCAAAATGGCAGATGCATGAACTGTATTTTGCATGTTTAAAATAAAAACAACACAGTTTTGCAGTTGTCTTTATTTCTCTCTCTGACACAAGGCTGCCTGCTTTCAACTTCCATATTCCAAAGACAGGGTAATAAAGTGTTTCAAGAGATACCTGACCTGAAGCATGGGCATTTCTGATGTTAGCAGCTTATACTATGGACACCAAACGTGCCCACTCAGCCTGGAGCCTGAGTAGTAATTTTTCGAAAGCGTGACACATCCAGCACTTATGGAGGGTTTGGACCACACAGCAGTAAACAGGCTTGGAGGGCATGATCCATCAGCATTGCATGTCTTAGAATATGCCTACTTAATCCAAACTATCTGGCTGGCTTTCAAATGGGTTGTACTTTGGCTACTTTATAATGTCTTATGTTTGAGAATTCTTATTTTGTTTCATTTGTATTTTTTAATCTCACATCCAGTATACAACTTTGTGTGACATGTTTTCCAAAAGAAATTTTGCACAGCCTGATTTTGTGACAACTGGTGATTTGTAACTTCATCCTCACACAGATCACTTGTGTTTGAGAGAAAAACTGGTTTTGTACCAAAAGAATATTTAAGCCACCTTTTTTTTTTAAAGAAAAAGAGGACATACAAGAACAAATTGGTAGTGGATTGATCTTTTAATTGAAATATTTCTGTATATAAATGAAGAAATTATATAAGTGTTATTTTTAGTGTTTGAATTTTGGCTTCTTCTTTTGCTGAAAATCGGTAGTGAAGAATGTGACTTGTTAAAAGCTAAGGATAAAATTTGACAAAAAATAATTTGTGTGAGTCTGTCCAAAGGGCATGGCTTTGGACAAGTTATGCTCCTACCAAACTGAAAACATTCTGTTGCTAGTCCCAGAAGAAGCTGTTTTGGGCCAGTGCCGAATATTTTGGAAAACCTCCCCTGTGAGCAAGGGATTTTGTTTTAGAAATACATATTTTTAAATGAGTTTGCTGGTAATGTAGAACTCTAGCTCCCTGATTCTCCTTTAGAAGTAACTTCCATGGGATCAGCTTTGATTGAAGGTTTTGTGCTATGAAATGAAGGGAGTGGAATAGCCAAGATACATGGGGCTGTCTCCCCAGCACATTCCGTTCTGCTCCATCTATATCCTGCAGTGTAATCACTCATGCTTGCTAGTAAAGATTCCTTCAGCTGACCAGATATTGAACAGCAGCCAGTATTTCTTAGTCATGGCTATAAGTTGTTTGGAGATGTCCTGACTGATAGATCTCAAATCCACACTTCCATGTAATGGCTGGCACTTCATTTGAGAGCTTACCCTCCCTCTGTGGATGTATTTCATCTGGAAGCTACTGTGATCTTCCTTTATATCTGGTATACCATTCTGTCAACAAATCTTAGTTCTGGTCTACAACATCTCGACTTTCTTACTCCCATTTCCCCCTTTCTTCTCTTTCCTTCCCTATTCTCAGAAGGACCATTTCTGAGCCGTTAAAGCACATGACTGACAAATCAATGACTCCATGTTCTTTGCTCCTCCAATATATTACTTTGCAATCTTGGCCAAGTTGTTTAACTATTCTGCACCTCAGATTCCTCATCTGTAAAATGAAGGTCACTGCCATGTATTCATAAATATCTCACAATAATACTGGGGGACTTCAATATTTGAAAAGTGATTTGAGATCCTCAGAGGCCTGATGGTGCTCTCACCATCTAAAGAGTATTACTTTACCCTGGGATGTGCATTTAGGGATGTAATGTACAGCCACAGAAGGGATAAGCCTCTTTTTTATTATTTGCCAGGCTGTGAAAGTAAACAAAAGCTTTCAGCAAGGAAAAATTAGGAATCAGATAAATTGTTCTTCTGGTACATATGATCTTTGACTAAACTGATTTTTGAAGTGTTTATGGTTACACAGAATTGGGCAATTACAGCTCTTCATTAGCAGAGGTGTTACAAGGTGCTTCTATAATGTAGCATCATATAAAACACAGAGATCAACAGGTTATTGTATGCTGTGCTGTATAAACCATCAGTCATTTTCATGTGTGTAGTTGGTCTCTATAAGTGCCTCAAGAGAATCCCAGTTGCTGCAGATCTTTCTGTTTACTTCACACAATCCTGATTATAAATGTTGTCTTTAAAAACAAATCATTATCAGTGGTTAACATAGGTCAGCAATTCCATAGCAGCCCTCCAGGTATTTGGAGAGACACCTCCACAATATTGAAAAATCAATTGGAAATCTCCTTCAATCTATACAGATCTCAGCATGTCAAACAATCATGTAATAGTGTGGTGAGTTGGTACAGGATGCACAGAAGACAAAACTAGCCATATGGTAAAAGCTTTCTAATGAGGCTTTGAATGTTATTTTCATTGCTCCAAGCTACTCTGTGCAATAAAATAGTATGGACTTTTTGCAGGGTAATATCATTAAGTATATGAATATATCTCTGAAACAGCATATTTTTCTCCTGTATTATCTACTTAGGGTTTTGGCAAGGCGATCCTGCCTTTAGGCTGAACTGCCATCAGTTTCTCCTGCAGATTTTTTAGTGCAAACTTAAACTTCTACTGCCTTTTGATGGATTGTTTTAAATTCTGAAAACTCCTTTAAAATAAATTATATCTTGTCCTTTTGAGATAATTGATGATCTAAAATATCTTCTCTGCCAACTGTAATCCTGCCTTCTTTTTTACTGTCTCTCAAACCCAATTCAAAATCCAGAAGTCCCAGAAAACCCAAAGATATTCATAAACCTTATTATCCCAAAATACATTAACATCTATTATTCTTGAGCCAGATACTGAACTGAGTTGTATCTTTGGTTTTTAGGGGAAACTAAGTCTACCACAATTTTTAAAAAGCAGTTATACACTGACAAGCACTTATTACCCTAAGGAAAAATCTATCCATGTGAAGTTCTTACCATGATAAGGAATACTGTGTTCTACAGAATTTGATGAAAGAGTCTACAAGTATGAAAGAAAAACAAAATTGTAATAATAGTATTGTTTTAAAATATCTTTTAAACAGTCTCCAAATATCAAAAGTACATAAGTGATGACAGCTAAAAGGTTTAAAGTTTGATCTGTTAGAGACCTGCAGCAGGCAATGGAGAACAGTGGTCTAAGCCAAGTCTTGCTGCAGGTTGCAGAGGTGACATTCCAACAAACACACAGGTGAAAGGCTCCAGTTCTGTGCAGATTTGTGTGACAAAAGCCCTGCAGCTCTGCAATATTCAACTGCATCCCTCAGGTTTACCCACACACCAAATATTCTGATAGAACAGCGTGTGGTTTAAGTGAGCTTCATTATTGCGCTAAGTTCTTTGATGATGAGTTAAACAGAGCTACCTCCTTCAGTCTGGCTCTCTGGCTGCTCAAACAAGTCATGGCTAACTCCCAGAAAGAACTCGTTATTCAGATTGATATTCCTCACCTGGGATTATGGGTCTTTCAGTCATAACTCCTATGTAAATCTAAACATATGTCCAGTCTTTCCGGCATGAAGGAGTTACTAGACAAACTCCCTTTACTCCTAAGTAGCATGGACATTTCAGTCACAAAGCATTGCTACATTTACATTCACTTTTTTTTTTTAATAGGAAGGATAAGCTGGAGGATTCTTAGCATAGGTTTACACTTCTCAGATTGTTTTTTTTCCTTTATTTATGGGCAGTGCCCCAAGGAATATAGAGTTTATATCACCATTCATCCTTCACTCATAGGTCTTACTTGTATGTGCAGTCCTGGGCTGAAGAATTAAACTATACCAGAGGCAATTTCAGCAATTGGAGCTATATGAGTGATAATAGTCAGCCCAGCTGCACATTTTCTTGCAGCATTCACTGCAAACCATCAATGGGCTGCATGCCCACCCCCTCTTTTCTCTTTTTTCCAATTTCCTTGCAGAGCTGGGGAGATTCTCCAAACTGATCAGGTGAAACCTAGGTGACCTCTCTCCTGGGAAGGCTGCCAGTCCAAAAGTGTTTCCATTTCCTCATTCCTGCCATTATGAGGACTACCCAAGGCAGCAGACTGGGGGGGAAGATTATTTTCTAATGTTTCATTTTCTTCTTTCCTTCCAAAAACGTGCTAGTCATTTCAACTGCTTTGCAGAAAGTGTTTTACTGTTGTGTTCAGGAGACACTTAAATTCTTGTTCCACTGATTAGAGCAAGCAGTTTGCCATCTGATTGCATTCAGAGTAGCAGTCATCTTGCTACACCCACTCCCCCCTACACACACAAAGTTCATGCCTCTTTAACATCATGAAAAGCTGCATGCACCAAAAAAAAAAAAAATAAAATTTGATTTTACATAATATTAAAAAGGAGAAAAGTACAGCACTGAAACTTATTTCTCAAAAATGTATGTTTGCCCATGTATTGCTTTCCAGCTTACTGGTGCATGAAATCCTGTGTCACCTCAGCTGTGCAGCACGCTACATGAGAAAAGCATTATGCTGTGGCAACAAGGCTAGCTTCAGGTGAGAGCATCAAGAGAGCCCTCTTCTCTGGCTGGGAACATCTGTCATGGCTTGGCAAATCTTAATCTTGCTGTATGCCTTGGTTCCACATCTTTAAAATGGAAGCAAATAGCATTTTGCTACTTCCTGGGGACTTTGGTGGGGTAAGGACTGTTGCAGGTTGTCACAGTGCTTACAAATTGGGACTTAACACCTTTATCATTTTTAGGTTCATTCTTCCCCCTGATACAGAGCGGCAGCATAAGCTAGTGATGGACCCCATTAGAAAACACATCTGCATTAAATTTAGCAACATCCCTGTTGCTGTTCTTAATGCCAGGGAGAAAGTGAAAAGATGCAGTGATCACTGTGATAGTGGAGATGACAACCTCAGAGAGTAAATATCCATTGAACTGTGAACTTGGGAGATGCATTTCTGAACACACTATGTGTTTATGTCTTAAAAGGACAAGAAGTAAACATGGGACAAGGGATGTTTATGTAGGCTGCTGGTAGTTTTCTGGATCACATTTTTGGGTGTGAACTGCAAAATTCTGCTCAGTTAACCACTGAGAGGTGCATACAGCCTCTCTCGGATCTGGTTAGCTGGCCACAAGCCTCAAGTGCAACACACACACACACACCCCCCCACACACACAGAGCACAGTGGGGGAGAAGAGCAGGTAGCAGGGTAAAGAGAAACCATAACAGATATCAGCTGACCACACTGAACACTCATGTGTCTTTTAAAAAAGAGACTTCTACTGAAACTGAAAGGGAATCTTGTGTTCATACCCCTTCACTATCCTACCGCCAGAATGTCATCACTGTGCCTGGCTGCCCAGAAACCTGCTGCCTGAGCCACCCACTTTACCAGTACCTTTCACTGGCTACAATATTAAATTTACTTCTGTAAATGTGGCCCTCCCCCTTATGTGGCCTCCACTCACATGGAGCACAGAGAATCATTGAGTCATAGAATCATTAAGGTTGGGAAAGACCTCCAACATCATTGAGTTAACTCAGCACTGACAGGTCCACCACTGAACCATGTCCTTAAGTGCCACATCTACATGGTTTTTGAACACTTCCAGGGATAGTGATTCCACCACTTCTCTAGCCAGGCTTAACTACCCTTTCCATGAAGAAATTTTTCCCAATATCCAACCTTAACTTCCCCTGGCACAGCCTGAGGTCTGTTTCATCTTGTCCTGTCACTTGTTACCTGGGAGAAAACACATGAATCTGCTAAGCTCCATACCTCATAGATATTTGACAAAGCAGAGACGCTTTTTCCCAGACACCCCCAAACATCTGCTCAACACCTGTGTAATGCAGGAAGGTTTTGAGTCCGTGTTCCTGCAACCTTGCGTGGCCAAGTGGTGCTCACCAGCAGTAAAACTCCACCTGCCGCTGGCACTTTCCCCTTATTGGCACTTATTTGCTGGATTTCACTGGCTCGCTGAAGAAATTCAGGCACAGGAGCAATGGTAGGGATGGAAAGGTTGGGGCGGGGGGCAAAGGGTGCCTATGGCTATTTCTGCACGTCTTCATCCGTCACCCTCTCGGGTGAGCTGTTCCCTCCGGGTCAGAACAGCCCCATCCGCCACGGGTGCTGCATCCCTTATGGAAAGCCGCTGGGGCCAGCCGTGTGGGGGAGAGAATGACGCACGACTACGATTTTGGGCTGTTTCGGGAGTTTTTATGTTAACTCTCGAGCTCCCCGCCTGCGCGGGCCGGAACCTTCTGTCCGGGGCAGCACGGAAGGTTTGCAGCGCCGTACGCGGAAGGCGACGGCGGCCCCGCCCCGGTGTCGGCATGGCGGGCTGGGGGAGGCTGGCGAGGCTCGGCGGGCGGCTCTGGGCGGCCGCGGCGGCGCCGAGGGTTCCCGGCCACAGGTAGCGGCAGGGCTGGGAGGGGAAGGGGCTCCTGCGGAGGTGGGGCGCGGGGTGGGAGCGGCGAGAGGAGCGTGGGCTGAGCATGGCTCGGCCCCTATCGCAGCCCAGAGGTGAGGGGCTCCTCGGCGGCCCTTTGCCCCCGGTGGCGTCTTGGGTCGCCACCCCTTGGAGAGGCCTCTTTGTGCAGCCTGCCGGCACTGCTTTGCGAGTGGTGGTGCTCCGGGTTACTGCTGGAGCCCTTCAGCCTTAGAAATGCCCCCAGCCTGTGTGGGGATTCTGGCAGGACAGGCATGTTTACATCCAGAGCATCTTTGCTGCATAGTGAGCGACTTGACCTGCTGTGTTTTGGGTCGCCTTGGCCTGGCCCTGTGCGGTCACTGCTTGTGTCTTGTGTCGTTAAACACTCCACCTCATTGTCCTTGCAGAGAACTGGGGAGCATTCTGGCTTTTCTGAGCCCTCACAGAAATTAAGGCAGGACCCTGAGCTGTTTAGCGATGAGTGTAGAACCAGAGATTGTTGGGGCTGGAAGGGAGCTGAGCAGCTCAGTTCAAAGCTGAGGTCTAGCTTCCTTCTCACAGTGTGGCCAGCTCTGAGGTTAGACCGTGTTGCACAGGGCTTTCTGGTTTTGGGCCTTGAGAGCCTCTAAGGACAGAGACTGCACAGCCTCTCTGTTTGATTGTCTTCAGGCAAAACATTTTTTCCGTACGTCAAATCAGAATCCCCTTTTTAGTTTGTACCCCTTCTCTCATTCTTCTGCATGCACCTCAGTAAATATCACCTGCTTCTGTCTTGTCAGTGACTTTCTCACAGGCATTGGAAAGCTGCTGTCAGGTCCACCCTAGACCACCTCTTTTCCAGACTAAACCAAACCCAGTTACCTCACTCCTTCTGGTAGGGCAGGTGCTCCAGCCCCTGGTATTTTTGTATACCACAGCTGGATTCACTCATTTGTAAACATCCCATTTGTGCTGGGGACCTGAAACTGGATTTAGTATTGCAGATGTGGTCTATTTGGAGTGCTGAGGAAAGGGTAAGTGCTTGCCTTGATCTCCTGACTGTGCTTTTGTTGATAAAGTCCAGGCTGCTGTTAGTCTTCATTGCTGTGAGGAACTTGCTGGCTCTCTGTTCACCTTTTTGCCCCCAGGACCTTCCAGGTCCTTGGCCTAACTGGGGAGCAGCTCTGCTGAAGTCACAGCCTGTACTCTCGCAAGAGGTTATTCCATCCCAGTTGTGGATGGGACTGTGCATTTCTCCTTTATGAATTTCATTGGGTTCCTCGTCGGCTTGTCTCTCTGACTGGCAGAGGGACACCCTTGAGCATCACCCACTGCTCCCTTCAAACTTAAGAAGGGTGCACTCGTCCCCTCTTACAGGTCATTGATAAAGATATTAAATAGGACAAATCCCTGAATAAACACTTGAGAAACTCTGTTTGTAATTGGCCTTCTAATAGAGTCCAAACCACTAGTCATGGCTCTTTCAGTCAGCTGATCCAGCCAGGTTTTTGCCCATCTGATAGCCCACCCATCCATGCCATAATATCCCAGCTTGGATAGAAAGATACCACAGGAGATGGTGTTAGAAAGCCTTGTTAAAGTTAAAGACACCCACTGCTATCTTCTCATTCATGAATCTTAGCTTTTTTTATCATAAGGAGTGGTTGGTTTTTTGTTGTTGCTTGCTTCCTTTTGGTGCACTTTATAATACTTCAAAAGTTAGATGAGAACAGGACAAAGAATTAGGTGGTTTTGGTCATGAGTGGCCAGTTTGAGTGATGGTGGTTGACTACCTTGGTAGTATGATTTTGGTCTTTATGACTGTATGCTATGTCATGTAATGATTTGTATTCATTACATCGCAAACATACGTGTCACAAGACATTATTTGAACTGATAAGACACTTAAAACTTTTTTCCCGCCACTGGAAAGGGGACAGCTGGGCTTTCTAGTCAGGCACATTAATAGTGCAACGTGGTGGCACGAGCATCTTTCTGAAGAGAACGTGGAGTTCCTGAAGAAGATAACTACGGAGGAATACAAAGCTCAGACAGCCAGCAAGCTCTGCCCTCTGAAAGATGAGCCTTGGCCACTGAATGAGTGGACACCAGGTGAGAAAGTATCTCTTCTGAAATACCAAACTCATGCTGAAATTATTACCGTTGTTGTGTTGTTGCATTCAGTAACATCAGGATTGTGCCTTGTAAAGTCTTCTCCTTTTTGCTTTTACATCAATCATTCAATACATTTAGTAAATAAGTAAATGTAATACATCAGTTCTCTAAGAAGCATTCAAAATATTACACGGTGTTAAGAACCCTTTAAGAACTCTTGGTTTTTAGTCTGTATCAGCATTTGGCCTGTCTGACTGCTGTACAATGACAAGATAATGAAGTAAAAATTTGTCAAAAAAGACTCCTTAGAATATAAAGTATATGAACTTGAAAACATTCTTGTAAATACTGCTGGACTCTGAAGAAAAAGTGTGGTATATAATACATCCCACTTCTGTGATTTCAAAGTTTTATGGTCTGGAACACAGTATGAAGTTTTTGAGCCTCCAAAAGGGTCACATCATTTGGGTGGCAGACTTGACATGTTGCCTTTGCTATACAGGTTTGCAAAGATTGTTTGGGAGGAACCTCTTACAGTAAACTTTTCAATAGTTAGCTTGACTCTAAAACACGGGTGTTGTATTTAAAAAAAAAATTAAGGGAGTCTGAAGTATTGGTTCTTTTAATGGGGAACTGGTTGCATGTTCTATCAAACACAACTGGAACAGATAGAACTTCACTGCTAGTGGGATTAAAAACAATTAACAGGTTATTCTCAGCCTACTCACGGGGAGTCAGTGAAGTTTTCTCTCCTTCACCTCTTTAGGAAAGATCAGAGTTAATGAATGGGATTTTGCAAGATATGAAATGAACTCTTTCAAAGATTAAGTATGGAGTTGCATTCCTATTCTGTTTTAATCTACAGATTCCATCAGAGTTGGTGTTGTTGCAGTAAAACTGGGAATGATGCCAATATGGACCAAGTCAGGAAAAAAACATGCTGTCACATTACTTAAGGTGAAATAAATCATAATGAATTTCATCTCCTGTCCTGTATTCAGATCATTAGCCAGACATTTCAGTCAAAAGTGAAAGTTATTACTTGTACAGAGTAGGAAATCCCGAAAGAAAGGAAAGGCTTCTTTTGGTCGTGGGTAGTACACCACGCCCACTCTGTTTATATCCCGAACTTTCTGGGAGCAGTCTGCCTTCTGCCTCAGCTATTCAGATGCTGCAGAGCTGTGAGCAGTGTTACCTAGGTGAGGCAACATAAAGCTGGGGTTAACTACCTCGCGTAACTTTTTTTATTTTGCCACCTGCAGGTACTTTGGGATTAGTTTCACCTTGGTTTCTGAGCCTCTGTAGCCCTGAAGCTGCTTCTTCATATTCTCTGGCAGCTACTATTGTCGTGAAGCCTTTTGCTCACGTGTTGCTGCCGTATGATGAACCAGTGCTGTGAAGGACATCAGGTTTGCAGGGCAAAAGAGCAGGAGTCTAAAATGTCAGCTCTTACTGTATGCTTTGCAAGCTTACAGAAGGGATTTTGCAGATATTGCATGCAAAAGATGACTATAAAAGATTATTTTATTTCTAGAGCATTTATGAAAATAGTTTGCATTCTACTAATATTTTTTTCCTAAAATCAGTCTTTAGTTGATTGGTAAAAGAATGTCTACAGTAAAAAAGTAACAAACACTACAGCTTACTGTTATGAAAACAGAGACTGACTTAATTTCACTTGTTTTAATAATCTCTTACTATCATCTTAAAGCACACACATCTGCTTATACTCAAATAAACACTTTTCCTTTTTTTAAGGTGCAAGATTGTCATGTTTTAAGATACGTTTCAAAGGAAGATTCGGGTGGGAAAACAGCTAAGCTGCTTGTTGGAGGCAAAAACTTATCTCCTTTTTGTGTAAGTGACCCACTCTGGGTGTTACTGTTAGAATAGTTGTTTCTGTTGTCATTGCAATATGAAAGTAGCATAGGTAGACTTCTCTGAAAGATTGACAGACACCTGTGCTTTGGAACAGATCTTTTGTCGCATTCACCTTGCTTATTTCCTAACAGTACTGTAAATTCTTGGTTAAGAGAATAGCAAGAAGAATTTTTGAAAGTTTTGCCTCTTGATTCTCTAGGAAAGCTGTGGGTTTAGGAAGTTGCTTTGATGTGCAGTGTCCTATGCTGGTGAAAGGGTCTGAAGGAGTATTAGTAGTGTAGAAACATATGTTCACCATCTCTGTGGAGGTGCAATTAAGATGAGAACTGCAAGATGCACACTTTAATGGCCTGTTGTAAACTTACCCAACTTCTTTGGATGTTTAGAAGATTTTGTTCTCTAGCTTATTCTTCCATACTGTTTTATGAGGTGTAGTTGTAATTTTTCCACATGTCTGTTGACGTTGTTTAATTTGCCTGTAGTTTTACTGATGAGTAAGTTTAAGACTTAAATTTTCAAAAAGATAGCTTCATGGTAATAGCTCATCAAGAGCTGTATCAAAACCACTCATTTAGACACTCCAGTTTCCTGGTGTGGAATTCCCAGATACCTTCGGTGGTTAAGGTTGTCTAGCAGAGCTGTCATTTCTAAGGAGGAAAATTGAGTTATGGATCAAGGTAGGAACAAAGCTTTCTGTCAAAGGATTGCAATTTCTGTGATCCGTTATTTCTGTAAAATGCCATTTTTTGCTTCTTGCAGTGTCCTGACACTCATTTGTCTGATTTAGTCAAGTAAAAAATATCCAGGGCTCATGACCACTAAGCAGATTATCTCAGCCACAATATCAGATTGTGGCTTTTTGAGGACATGGATTTCAATTTTTCAAACTGACAGTTGTCCCAGAGTCTCAGAATTAATCTGTGTACTTGTTTCTGCTTTACCAGAGGTGAGGAAAGAAGGAGCTTTTTAATTTGCTAAACCTGTTGGCCTTTATAGTATATTCTACTGATTTTGAGCAGGCTGATACTTTAAGGTACCTCTCTGGTATTCAGTGGGTTTATGCCGTGTTTCACCATCGTAGCTTGTAGTTTCAGGTGTCTGTCCTGTCAGTTTAGTCCATTTCCACTTTCCAGATGTGACATTTTTCCTGGAAAAATAACAGCTCTGTTTTTTCTTTCATGTTACTTTGGTCTAAGACATGCAAGAACTATGTGAATAAAAATTTTCAAATTGTATTTTGCACATTAGACTCCTTACAGTCGATCTTCTCAAGTAGATGATGTTACCAGTAGTTCAGTCTGTTGTCAGAGTAATAATGTGTGGGAAGTAAGGAGGTATAAATAAAATCTCTGTTTAAATAGCTCCTATGAACTAAGAAAATTTCTTCAAAGATGAACTACCTGAAAGGTCAACTCAAGGACTTTTTAGTAGTGTGAGTTATGTTAATGACTCTCTCTGGGCATAACTTTTCCCAAGTTAGCTTCGATTAATTTGGTTGAACTTAGATTCATTTTAATAAAAAATTAATTAAATATCCTTAGATCGATCTGTGATGAAGGCCTGGCCTGAGACTGAACTGTGTATTATGATTATACTGAGCTCTGTATTATTGTTATCATCATTATCATCATTGTCATAGTATAAACTAGATAATTCCTAAGGAAGAATTTGGCATGCTGATTCTGAGCAATTTTGCTTGTTGAGGTACTAACAAATGAGGTATTTCTGTGGTTTAGCTGCAAGTTTGAATCACTGCTCTGCTATGTTTATCAGCCTTTTTATGTGTTTCTTTTTCTCTTTGGAATGTCGAAAGTGAGAATTAGAAGAAGGGTGAATGATACTGTATTGTATTAGCATAAGCAATTTATCTTCTGTTAGTTCCTCATAGGAACATCTGTCTTCCTCAGATTCCTCACAGCTTCTGATTTTTAATGAGTTCAAACAAAAGATTCCCTCAGTAATTTTACTAACAAAGAATTTTCTATCTTTCTTTTGAGTGTCAAATTGCTTAAAAGCTGATAAGGAATATTGCACTTTTAGCAAGATTTTTTTTTTTCTTTTTAGCTTGATATATGTCACTGTGCTACAAGTGAAGAGATTTTTCATTATTTTTTAATGCAAACTGTTTTCAAATGTACAGTTCTGACAGTGTTCTAACATTTTTTTGGTCTAAAGTATTTTATATGCTTCCCATAAGTGAGGGCATATTGATCATTTTCCTATAATACTGGAAGATATCATTGGTGTTTTTAAAAGTTTAGAACATCTGAGAATTCACTCAATATTGCTTTTTAGGAAGGCTTTGTAAAGACTGCAGTGTTTTGTTTGTAAAAGTACATCTTTCTGACTCAGCTGTTGTTGCAGTAGAACAGTGCAAGGCTATAGCCTTGAGTAGGACTTGAGATATAAGTAAATTTTACCCTTTGGCTTCACTGTGCTTTTCTTCAGCTGTGGTAGCACAGGCCTCCCCTTGCTGTAGCTTAAGGCAGCAGTTTCACGTAACAGTGGAAGTAAAGGATTCATATACAGGCACTTAGTAGAAAGGCCATATCTTTATTTTTAATTCTCGCATATGGTTCTACAGATTAAAACAGTTGTCCTCCATTGGTGCCTCAAATATTCGTGGTCTTAGGGAGATTTTGTATGTAGCTGATTTTTTTTTTTAAAGGTATTTGAAGTGTTTTGTACTGTGAACTCAAGTTAACAAATCACTTGGAAAAAACTTTTCACTCCCAAAGACTTTCTATCCACACTTTCTCCTCAAACAAAGACAGATTTTTATACTTAAAATTGCTGGTTTTTTTCTAAGAGATCCTCATCATCTTGCTTCCTCATTCTTCACGAAACTTCCTCTCTTGTTCTAACACTTTTTAACAAATTTTTGAAAACAAAAGAAAGGACATCATGCAAATTTTCAAAACTGCGTTTTCAAATAAACTGTGTTACCCTTTTTAAGTTATCCAAATTATTTTGTCTTAAAACATAGAAAAAAATTTTGAGAGAGAGAACTGCACAGAAGTTTTGAGAAGTGAACCTCAGAGATGTGACTATCCTAGTGTGACAGTATTGTTAGATGCTTAAATTGCTTTCTAGGAGAATTCATTTGAAGAAAATTTAAGTGGCATTCCTTTTTTCCTATGGCTACAATTTACCTGCATTACTGTTTCTGTTGCTTGGTTTCATCTCATGGTCAGCAGTTCTGTGAGTTGTTTTGTTTAAAACAGCTGAGAATAATTTTAAGTACTTTTAAATTTGTCAGAATCCTCTGAAAAGAAGATCCTGCTTTATTAAGTCAGCAGTGGTTTGACACTGAGTGTACTTGGTATATCTTAAAAATACATGAATCATAAACTTGTTGTTCTTAATTTTTCTTTTTTTTGTCCAGAGACTCAAAATTCTGTTCTGTGGAAAAGTTAAGCCTTTTGAGAATTTTCTGCAAGATGAGACTTTGTTTCTATTGTTTTCTTAGTTAAATCAAATATGTATTTATGGTAGTGTGGAACTAAGTCATCAGTAGCTTTGAAAAAGAGACCATATTTTTAAATTATTACAAAACTCTTTGTAAGCCATGACAAAAACACTAGTATCTTTTATTTATATTGTAAATGATTCTGATCTTGGAAATCTTCCTATGTATCTTGTTTATATAATGTAGCTGTAGGGTAACTAGTTGGCAGAAAATAAAATGCAGAGACAGGAGTTTTAAATAAATTTTATATAGAGATAAAATGCTACTCTAAAGATAAAATTTTAGTATGATATATCTGTTCCTCTGAGTGGTGTTGACAGTCTGTAATCATTTTCTGTGCTAGGTTGATCTTGGGTATTTTAAGATCACTTCTTTTTTACGGCTGCTTTTTGTTACAGAAACCAGAGTCTGCACATCAGATTTTTAAAGAAGCTGGAGTACCACGAAAGCAGAAAGTTGCAACATTTAATGTAACAGATGATGCCATAATTAAGCCAGGTAATTTTTTGAGTTGCTGATTATTACATGCATAATCATTTAATATCTGCCACCTGTAGACCTAAGCAAAGTTATGACGTGTATTTAATTTTTGTTTTGTATGGAAGTTGCTGAATTATTCTTTGTCATTAAGTACAAACATACTTTTTTCTTAGGGAAAATTAGAAATTTATTGTTTAGTTGATGAGAAGTAGGATTTTTCCTTTTTCTGGGGTACTATGTTAAGATTGATTAGAAAGTTAGTCTAATCCAATTTACTAATAATGAACATTGAATTAAGAAGTAAGTCTGTAACCTTGACTCACTGGCTGAGAATAAATATGAATGCAGTTATGGGAAGTTCTGTGTTTGTCCTTATGAGAGGGACACAGAATTTTGTGGTAATGTTTCTCAGGAAGCTAAAATAGCAGTTTGAGGTTTTTTTCTTCTTGCTGCATTCAGAAGTAGAACTGATGGCTGTCATTGAGGATGTTTTTTCTGACAGCTTGCAAAGTAAAGCCCACTAAAATGTGTTTATAACAAATGTTCTCACTAAAAATCAGTATTAGGAGTTTGGAGATCTAACAAAAAGTTTTAAGTTTCTAAGGTTTTATTAGGTAGTGCACTTAGGTTGCTTTCGCTTTTGACGATTATAGGTATTTTCTGAAGAATGATGTAGGGTTGGAAATTCTAATATATTGTGTATTTCCTTGCCATTAGTGAAGCTTTTTGTAAGATCTTTTTAAGACAGTGTGGTAACTGATAAAAATCAAATCTGACATGCTAAATGGAAGCAAAAGCTTGAGATAAAGCAGAATTGCAGGTTTTCAATAAACTGGCTTTGCAGTGCATGTATTTTGTACATAACATCCTTTATATGCATGATTTTGTGTCAGTTGACAGGCATCTTATTCCAGGTGTGTATGGATTATATAAATATAACATGACATAATATGAGGATTTTTATGCTTGAGATTTATGAGAGGTTTACATCATTTCAGTTTGCATTTGTACAGATTTGAAAAAGCATGAGAATGGATGTGGACATGAAGCAATTAAAATTTCACTTTTTTAATGGATGTAAAACAGGTTGGAAACTGTGAAATATGCAGCTATATAGATCTATATAGATTTATCAAGAACTAAGTTATTAATTTTGGTTTGTTGTGGGGTTTTTTTTAAGCTGCTAATAAAAGAATATTGCACTTGGATAAAAAAAATCACTGAAGACAAAATAAATCTAAAAGTAATATTTTGGTACTGCAAGTATTTAAGGAATTAGTGTAATTACAGTGAGGTGAGTGGTGTCACTGACCTACATTAGCACTACTTCTGCTGAAAGTTAGTGTATAGGTAATTCCCCAGTGGATGAGGCTGTACTTCTGCCATAGTCTTTAGTTTGGAAACACCATGTCTTAATAAAGAGGAAGCATTGCAAAACTGTCTTTTTTTTCTTTTTTTTTTTTTTGTTCTTAACCACATTTTTTATAGTAAGTGGGTTTTTTCTGTGACTTGATTGTTTTTTGGTTTGTTTTTTTAAAAACTCTCCACCTTGTAAAGTTCTGGTAGTTCTAAGTACAGCATGTTCTGTTTTCTTGCTAAGTGTGTTTATTATGAATCTTAACTAATTAGTCATTTGAGGCTTTGTGTATGAAGTACAACGTACCTCATTAGAGCCCTGGCCCTTCCTTCCTATTCATCTGAAATTGGTCTAGGACCTGAGAAATGTGCTTCAGTAGTAAATACAAAGCATCTCTCTTACTTTGTGAGGTTCATAAAGAAGAATAAATAATATGTGAATAAGTTTTCTTTCCTTTGCTGTGACTGTAATCTACCCTGTATGATAATGACTGGATAGTGATTTAAGGATTTCAGCACTTAATTGAACATGATCTCTCCTCTTCTTTTGAAGGTACTCCTTTGTATGCTGCTCACTTCCGCCCAGGGCAGTTCGTGGATGTTACTGCAAAAACGTAGGTTTCTAATGATTTAAGGTGTGCAGTTCATCTGTTAAATAGACTGGTTCTCTTTTTCTTCCCTCTACTTTGTCTTGAACCTGTGGATCACAAAAGCTGAAATACAATTTGCAAGAGTAGTGACAGGAAATACATGTCCATTCAGTCACTGGGTCAGCAATATAAAATTATCTTCCTTTGCTTTTGATTATGAACAAGATGAATAATTAATGCTGTTAGTGCGATGGTTCTGCTTGTATCTGTCACATGTACATGGAAGGGCTAGACAAACAGCTTGAGAAAATGTTGTTCAAGCTTAGCATGGGCAAAGAGATCTATAATGCAGCATCTGTGGTATGTAGAAGTGGGGAATGAATGCTGAAAGGCATCAGTTCTCAAAAAGACTGCTTGATTTTGATTTGGTGAAGAGATGTGAAGAGAGATGTATCGTGTGGACTGAAAAAAAAAGCAAAAAGATATTGAATACTTTTAGCAGGACAACAGAGCTGTCAAATTCCTTTTTTTTTTCTGTTTTCTCATATTCCAGCTCATGTCCTTGCCAGCAGTGGCTAATGATCTTTTACTTAAATGTGGGAGGAATGATTTCCTCTCAGACCACTGTGAATGCCAAATTAGAGCTCAAGTGGTAGAGGGTGTCAAAAGAAAAATTGGCATCTTGTGGCAAAGACTAGTCATGGCTCTTGTGGTACATCTGTGATTTCCACTGACCAAGAGAACTGAGAACTCCTATCTGTGTGTTTCAGTGAACTGTTATTTTTGTTGTGTTGTGATACAAAGATAACATTTTCTGGGGTTTTTTTAGGTGTAATGGAGGTAACACCCAACTGTAATAGTCTCACATGTGTGTATGACCTATAAATGTGTAATATCATTCACAGGGTCTTGTATATATGGGGAAACCAAGTACCTGACTGCATTTATGAGGGTACCCTATTGAGAAAAGGAGGTCAAGGAGTTGACTGAAATTAGTTGGGTTTTTTTTGTCAAACTTCCTTATATAATACTTAGATCTGGCATGTTGTTCATTCTGCTTCTAAATTGCATTCTGTGAACAGCCTGTAAGAGACAATAGCCTGTTTGCAAAACAAAACAGAGGATCATTAGGAATACAGTTTTTTAATGAAGATTAAGTGTCACTGTTAATGCAGAAAAGCTTTGTTTTTCTAAAAGTATTTCAAGAACTAGTAAAGGAATTTTTTTTTTGCCATGTAGAAGATACTGGTAAACAGCCACAGGATATTTGTATCTTGGTATTTGAAAATATTACCAAGCTAAAAATAGACTGAGTTCTTGGTCACATTCAGTGAATCCATCTTAAATTGTAATTCAGTATTTCTGACCTGTTTTCTCCAGGTATTTGTATGATCCCATTTCAGAAATTAGCTGTTTGTTTGTGCTGGTTTGGTAGCACATTACTTGTAATCCTTCTGTACAGGTGAAGAAAAAATTTTTCTGCTAAAGAGAAAGATCAGTTGGGTTTTCTGTCAACATGATTGTCTAATCATTCCAGTCTTCCTGTATCAAAATTTTTTTAACCTTTTTCTGCGGCTTACTCACATTTTGATTTCTACTTTTAAAGTTTCTTTCTTCTTAATTTCCACTTTTCTGGAATGCTTCATTTATCATATTCCCTTAACTCTTGGGCAAGAATTAAGTCATTTTACTACATTTCAGTTTTTCTTTGGATCTCTTTCTTTATTCCATGGAATTTCATTCAGTGTTACTTAGTCTCATACTTTCATGAGGTTCAGGTTTTTTTTACTTTTCAGAATACTGTATTCATGATTCGTAGTTACTGTACTGGGAAGTACACATTCCACAATGTCACACAAATATCCAAGAAATGCTTCAGTGAAGGGAAAAAAAAGTTACCCTGGGAGTGGTTATAGCATTGACCTATAGCATTTGGGCTGCACTGTGAGGGGAAAAAATGACAACGTGCTTCATGTTAGGTTTGTGTTCTGAAATCACCTCAAGAGAAACCAGCTTCTCCCTGCTGAACAAAGACCTTGGGAGGTTTGGTCCACAGGCTGAAGTGAGCCTTTGTACATTACTCTGTAAAGCCCCAATTTTAGCAGTGCTGTAGGCACTTGGAAGATCCTAAGCTATAGGGGCGTTTTGGAAAGGTACTTAAAGAAGATAACACTGAGTTACAGTAGGGAGCATAGTTTGACTTCCTTTCCTTCCTCCCACTTCTGTCTTATAGAATATAGAACGGTTTAGGTTGAAAGGAACCTTAAGGATCATCTAGTTCCAACCCCCCTGCCATGGGCAAGAACACTTCTGCTAGACCAGCTTACTCAAAGCCCCATCCAACCTGGGGAAGGGACCTGATTCTTCCTAATTCAAACCACTGTGGATTTAAAAGAGAGTAATTCCTAAAAACTTGCTATCACTGGTAGCAAAGTTTTTAGAAATGTTATTACATGAACATGTACTTTACATATTTAAGATTAACAGTAATTGTGTTTTAATGGAGGAAACACTGAAGTGTGTGCAATGTTTGAAATCATGTACATGAAAATGGTGCTGCTGTTGGTAAGAGCATGATTAATTCTAATTATTCCTTTAAAAAAGAAAGAAAAAATAATGTCACCTCAATGAGGAGATAATGTAGGGGAATATAAAGGGTATTTTAATTTTTTGCCAACTCTTAATTATCCGGATGAGCAAGATATCTTTCTGTATGCTTCCTTCTACCAAAATGAATCAAAAATACGGTCCTTAAAAATGAGCAAGCTTTTCTTAGTTATCATAGCCTAAATGAAGGACTTGCACTACATTTCAGAAGTCTTGGTTAACATCTTCATTTTGTTACGAAAGTGTAGGGTATTTTTTTTTAGTTGTCTTCTTTTAATCTTCCCTACAAATATTTTTGTCAACGTCTTTTATTCATTTATAGCTCTGTAAAGAAAAACACTTTCACAAAAACAAGAAGGTTCAGTTAAAGATGTATGCAGTTCGTTTCTATTTGAAGTCTCATAATTTGTTCAGCACAATATGAGTAGCTTTTGGAGCACTGTCATTAGGCAGTGTGTCTGCATGCTGTCAGTCTTCTATAGTGCTGAAATATTTTCCTTAGTACTTATTTTCAGCTATTTAAAAGCTCAATTCTTAAGTTTAGCCCTGGTACGCTTTGAGCTAAGATTTGTAGCACTGTCCAGAAGCACTTCTCTCACAGGTTGCACTTCTGTGACCCCACCTGGAGTGCTGCATCCAACTCTGGGGTCTCCAGAACAGGAAGGGCATTGACCCCTTGTCCAGAGGGGGGTCACTAAGAGGATTAGAGGGATGGAACACCTCTCCTATGAGGAAGGGCTAAGAGAATTGGAATTGTTCAGCATGGAGAAGAGAAGGCTTCAGGGTGACATAATTGCAGCCTTCCAGTACCTGAAGGGAGCCTACGAGAAAGCTGGAGAGAAACTATTTACAAGGGCCTGGAGTGACAGAACAAGGGGAAATCACTTCAAATTGAGAGTAGGTTTAGATTCGATATTAGGAAGAAATTCATTACTGTGAGGGTGGTGAAGCATTGGGACAGATTGCCCACAGAAGTGGTAGATGCCCCATCCCTGAAAGTGTTCAAGGCCAGGTTGGATGGGGCTCTGAACAACCTGGTCTATTGGAAGGTGTTCCTTCCTTGGCAGGGGGGTTGGAACTAGATGATCTTTAAGGTCCCTACCAACCCAGGCCAGTCTATGATGCTTGCTGATCACCCGAGTGAGCTTCTGCACTAGTACACAGGCGACCAGAACATGGTGATAGGGAGGGGTAGGACCATGCCTGCCGTGGTAGCCCAATGCTGTATGGACATGGAGTTGTATCTTACCTCCTTTTCTGCCACTTCATGACCTGTTCCGTGAACATTTCAGGAAAATTTGGGAACATGAGAAATTTTGTCACTCCAAATTAAAAATCAACAGTAGTTTTATTTGAAATGTGCCAGTATTAAGTGATGATTCTGGAGTGTTTATGGTTTATTTAAGCTTTGCTAGGTTAACAGTGTAATCTGAGCCTGAAAGTATGTTCTACATTTGTCCAAAATTATTGGACTAAGTAGATGGAATCCTTCTTCCTTTATGGCATCTAAATAATGGTCTTTTAAATGAACTGTGAAGAGTTAGCAGCAAACTTCATTAGAGTACTTTATTCCAGTAGCTTTCTAAATGAAAGTTGTCTCATTAGGTACTGGCATTTTACTTGTATCAAACCTGGAAAATGAGGTTTTCTACAAAATTAGGCGGTTGACCTAAACACCTCCTTTCCTGCAGGTGAGAGTAGAATAACTGTATGCAATTAAACTCTAATTCTGCACAAGGATTACTTTCATTTAACATTTATGTGTCTTAGTCTTTCATCTCATCATTGCTGCCTGCGATTCCTTTCTGGGACTCAGGTAAATATGTTTCATTCAGTGAAACCAAGTAAATTAAGTCATAAGATAAAGTGTATTTGTAGGTTATTCAGTGATTTTCAATCAGTTTTTCACAAATAAATAATGAAACTAATCTGAAACATTGTTGAACTAGTATGATGAAAGAGCCTTGGTAGATAGTAAAATGTTGTACATTTTGAAGTACTCTTAATTTCAGAATTGTGATATCTTTCCTTGACTTTAGGCAGAATATTTCAGAGGTTGGAGATTTGTTTTCATATTCCAGATCGATCAACAGATCCAAGAGAATTTTCAGCTTTACCAGAGTGCTCTTTTTTAGGCTGGTTACACTTCCTATAAATTTCCTAAAGCTTCGGTACTGTAAAGTCTGAGACTTTGTTCACAGAAAATATGTGTGTAATTGGAAGGACCAAGAAGCAGATGAACATAGTCTATCACATAAATCATTAAACACTAGCAACTCTTATCTTGTGATGTAATCACTTCTTTCTGAAGATATCTTAAAACATTGATGTATTAAGCATTTTTTTTCAAAATACATCTCTTGTAAGTATTAGGTATTTATTTTATTTTCTTTTAAAGTACAATTTATAGTATTCTAAATTGTTTAAAAATGAGCAATCTGAATGAAATATTGAAGTGGTTTCATGACATCATGCTTCTTGATTCAAGTTGACAGTACTGTTTACTTTTGAACTGGTGGCTTTCTAAGGTTGTGTGGTTTTCTCTCAATTGCAAGGACATTTTTACAGCTAAAGAATTAATCATGCCCTCGATCTGCTCCCTCTGGTAACTGCACAGCTGTTGTTATGCAACCTGCTTGCAGTTGGTTTTGGAGGCTTTGTTAAGTTCATCTTCCAGCTAGAGATGCCAGAAGTAGTCTACGTGGAAAACATGGCCAGTAATAGATAGTTTAAAAGAAAAAAAATACCATTTTGGCAGAACAGATACGAGTTTCCCTATGGCTTAGTTTCTGTATGTATTTCAAAGTTATTGATCCCCTAGCAATATGCAGACATAGAAAAGACAAGTTTTGAGCCTCTCTTAAAATGTATTTTTCAAACCTTTTTTTACAACTATTGCTGTTTACTAATGCAAACTTTTAAAATAAGCTGATTCTATAGGAAACTGGTGTTAAAAAGCCTTGCATCCTTTAGTACACATCCTTTAGAACACATCTGGCTTGTGTTCCTGTTTCCTGGTAACTCAGGTCCTCCTTCGTGGAGGTGCCTTCCTTTAGCTTCCTCTCATGGCCCTGACTCTCTTCATATCCTCAGGTTCCAGCACTGTCTGCTGGCCTGGAAGGACTGTCTTTCTGGTGACAACTACTTGCATGACTGGCCAGCTGTCAAGCCAAAGGAACATAGCACCACTTAAATTGTATTTTAGCATTTCCGTAGTTGTAGGTAAGGAGCAAAAAAAATTGAGGAGCTTCTGTGCAATAAATCTTGATTCAAACAATTACATGTCTGTCTTTGCCAAATTTAAGTGGGATTGATCCTTAGGTTCTAAGCAGCTCTTGTTTCCTTATGATTCTGTGACTTTAGAGAGTCTTTGTGGCTGATTCTGACCGTAGCTTGACGTGCTCAAGGCATCTAGGGCAGCAATTAGAGGAGAATTACTCAAGTGGTAAGAGGAAAGAATCTAGTTTTCACGAATGTTGTTGTATTCCATGTTTGTATATTTTCTCTAGTTTTTCATGGTAGTGCTGAGCAGGGGAGTCAGCAAAATGCAGTCCCTCTGTAGAATGTGCTCTGTGCATGCTCATCCATGGGCTTATTCTTCTGTGTTTGGCTGGAAGGTTCTAATGCTTGAACTAATAGGACCGTGACATTGCAAAGTGCATTAGCAGAGAAAAGATTTCTGTAAATTGGAGGAAAAGGATCATCTTTGTTAATGAATTAAATAATCAGTGCAGCCATAAACCCTGTGGTCAGATTTTTCCTTTTGGAAACTGACAGTGCCAGTTTAAAGACACACTTTAATCGGCTTTTCCTTTGTGCAGTGATAAAGGTGGGTTTTCCTGTTGAGTCTGTTCCTCCAATAAATAGAGAACTCCAAAGCCAGTAATAGTATCATGTGCCTCAAAGATTAAGGGCATGGACTCTGAAAATGTGTTTTATTTGTTACTGTGCTGTAGACCTTATTTGTTAGCTGAGTATGTATCAAGGGAGTTACGTTTGCACTATACACAAAAATGTTTTCAAGAGATGAGTTTACTGTAGTATGGAAAATGTTTCTTCATTTATTTTTATCATAGTCTAACCAGTCATCTCTTTCCTCTCTTGATGCTTAGGACCTGTCATTAAGTTTTGGTGTATGCTATTATACAGTTGCTTTTTATTTGGTTTTGGTTTTGGTTTTTTGGTTTGGTTTTTTGGGAGGGTGTTTATTCTGGTGTCCACTCGATGAAAGCTTCATTCCAGTAACATTGCTTGAGGATGATCACAGCAAGAAGCATTTTGTGTTAGTCTTTTTGCCTATTTAACTCTCTTTTAGTGCTTCTTATTCTTTAAGCATTGCGCTAAAATATGTTTATGATATAAAATACAGATTTTCATTTTAACTGTATTTCCCTCTGTGCTGAGCTTTGCTAAAGGTAATAAGATCATGAGCCTGACTGAAATTATTGGTTATTGCTAGAATAACAACCTTAAGTCTGACTAACCCAGGTTTCTTTCTTAATTATTTTTGTTTTTAGAATTGGTAAAGGATTTCAAGGTGTCATGAAAAGGTGGGGATTTAAAGGTCAGCCTGCGAGCCACGGCCAGACAAAAACTCACAGAAGACCTGGAGCAATATCTACTAACGTGAGGATTCTTATTTCCTGTTTAAACATTCTCAGTGTTTTTGTAACTGCATACTAAAAATGAACAATTTCACAGTATCTAGCTGCTACATGTACTCTGTGGTAGCAGAGAATCCCAGTAGTTTCAAAGGAAGTTCAGAAACCTGTATAATGAGCAATGCAGATAGCTGTTCTCTTATGCCTCAGTTTATGAATACGCATTATTTCAGCTGAGCAAATTGTCATATTTTGTAGTATAGCTGAGAGGAATAGTCTTAATACTTCAAAGAGAGATCTAAGAAGCTTTTATCAGACCATTTATAGGTTGGAAAAGATTTGCCCGTTATTTTACACTGCAGATATTGTACCATTCTTTGGAACCTTACTTGCTTTTGTCACCTTGCCTGGCTTGTGTAGCTGCTTGATGAACTGATTCCCATAATCTTATAGGGAATAATTCCCAAAATTTTGAAAGGTTCTAAGCATTTTTAAGCAGAGTACAGAGTCATATTTTTGCGTATAAAAGCTCTTTGAGCAGATTATGTTTAAACTTAGTCCTGTTAAGGCTGTACAATATTTAGGCCAAAGTAAGAGGAATTTTTGCAAACTAATTAAGATCAACTGAGTCACAGTACTGAACCTGAACTGTCTGTAATTTCCTTAGAGAAATGAAAATTTAGAAAAGTATTAATAATGCTCAGCGAATAGTAAAAGCAAAAGGGCAATAGGCAATGAAGTTAGAGTAATTGAGAGTGTAAAAGCATGCATTACTGATTTATAGCCTTCAGTTTCAGCTGGAAAAAAATTCTACACCTGGCACTTGTTTTCACTGAAGAATGTAAATATTTGAACACAGAACACTGTTTTAATAGATGATCTTCACCATTACAAAATAACCTCTCTTTTATTTAAATTAGAATTTCATAAGCAGTAATGCTGGATGTAATTTCATAAAGTGTATAGAGTGGAAAATAGTATTGGAAATGGGTAGATGAAAAAGAAACAAGATGAAAAGATGCAATAGGGGAAAAACAATGCCTTGTTAGTTTTTTACTATCTAGTGTTGACCATCTCAGACGTTTTTGTGATCCAGGATTTTTCGGTACAGAATCCTTTCCCTAGAACTGCATTGCAGCTGATTCCTGAAATCATGATTTTCACAAGAATTAAAAAAACGCCCAAACATTATTAATGAATAACAGAGAGGTGCAGGATACAAATCCCTTGATAACAATGTAGAATTGAAAATTATAGCACTTATTCCTGCCTTTTTTTTCCACCTTTTTAGTCCAGTTTATACCCAGCCTGTCACAAATGGGATACAGAAACTAAGCAATAGCAGTGAATGGAATTAAATTAACATTTTGTTCTCAAAAATACATGCATTAAAACAGATCTGATTTACATCAGTGTGAAAATCATGGATTAGGGGGAGGAGGGAAGCTACAGTGTATCTTCATTTCAGCAGCCTTCTAGGGCAGGACTGCTCTGGAACTCTGTGTTAGCATCCACAAGTAATTCAGGCAATAGTTCAGGCAAGTTTCCAGTTGCTGCGGTCTGTGATGTAGGTGAGAGACTTGTGTTGACAGGAATCTTAGGAAAAAAACTTTTCTTGGTTTCTTACAAAGTACAAGTATGAATGAGTACAGATTTTACTCTGAATCTATATACATTAAGTATTAAGCAAAGCTAGAATCTCTTTGTTCATATAACAGTATATGTAGCAATTTTATGATTGAGGTCAAGTATTTCAGATAACATGTAGAGTAATACCTAACCTCCAGCAGGCGGTATTTAAAATGCTCATCAGTGTTAGATTTTTTCAATATTATATTTTCAACATTGGAAATATCAGCATATTTTCTCCAGTGCTCCTCTTGCAGTTAACATGATTTTTTTTTGGCCTTGTTTTTATCTAGAAAGCTTCCAAAGTTTATCGCGGAAAGAAAATGCCAGGTAAAATGGGTAACGTCTATAGGACATGTTTTGGATTAAAGGTGAGTTCTGAGTATACTAGAATGTGTATAGGGTGGTTGCATTGCCAAGCAATGGACTCAGCCATGTAGCCTTGTGTTAGTGTTGTTTGAAGTCCTAACTTGATCACGACCCTTCACTTTCATTTACAAAAAAGAGATTATAGTTTCTGTCCAGATTCTGATTGGTACATTTGTACAGCAGCTCCTGGGCTATTAAAGATACTTTTCTCTGTCTCCAAAGGCAACCTCTGCAAATTGACCTCCAGTTTGCAAAAAAGTGTGCTGCTGCTGTTCTCTGTTAACTGAAACTAATTTTTTGTAGCAGAAAATGTTGTGTTCAGTTGAGCACCTCATTGAATTAAGAAATTAACAAATGCTCACAGTAACATTTTCATGAGGATATTTGTTTTATTTTGTCACCTGCGATGTTCAACAGCTGTTGCTGTTAGAGGAAAAAGAGGCTTAGGAGCTCTGATTGGTGTTTGCTGAACAAAGAGCTGCCTTACCAAATATAGCCTGATCACCCACCCTTCAAAACTGTTACAGACTCCTGCATGAGAAAGTTTGGCACTCAAAGTGGCATGTGAGTGAATTTTGTGGCAATTTAGGCCTGTGCAGAATGTTCTTTCCCAGAGTACCACCTCCAATTTGTGCTTTACTGGACTACTGTTTGTAAAAGTGGGAATAGTCTAAACAGGGCTCAATGTCTGGTTTTTCTTTTTTCTGTCTCCTAGGTGTGGAGGATCAACACAATACATGATATTATTTACGTAAATGGCTCTGTTCCAGGTCACACAAATTGTCTGGTGAAGGTATGTTTGCTAGTTTCAACTTACTGATATTAGTGACTCCTGAACTCTTTACAAATCTCTTCTTACAAAAAGAAAAACACTGGTTGAATGCAATCTTCATTTCTTCAGTGCCATCTAGTACTGTTGAATTAAAGGGCAGTAGAATCAGCTCTGAGAAAGAGAGTGATTAGTAGGGGCAGTGTGTCACACTCACTCTGAATGGCTCTTTCTTAGCTTTGCCCTGGGGCTGTGCACCCACGTAGCTTATGATAAACCAGCACAGTTGCTGAAACCCTTTGGTAAGTGTCTCCAGCCTACATCCATCCCCTTTGAATGCTAACTCAAGCCAGTAGCATGGTGGTGAAATTTCTGGAATATTATTTAAGGGCTGTATTCGTGAACAGAAATACACAGCAAGCGCTGCTTTAGAAGTTATTCCAAGCATTCCCATATGCAGTAGCAATTACCTTTCCAAGGAGCAGTCGAGGTACAGGAGACAGCAGGAATTCACAATAAAGATCTGAGTTCCCTTTGCAATCAATATAAATGTGTCAGTGCTATTTTCTGTGTCAGTCTGCAGAATTAATTTTGAATTCTATGGAGGTTGTTTCTGGATTGTCTGAAAAACTGAAACAATGAAGAGTCTAATAAGTGTTCTTACAGTGTAAATAATCCACATCAAAGCAAGAAAAGCACTTCTGAGGGTTGTTTTCAAAATAGATTTTTCTTTCTAATTAAGTATATTCTACACATCTGCAAGCACAAATTACTTGGAGAAAGTTGCTTCCTTTCAGACTGAATAGAGTACAGACTATCAAACATCTTTGCTATAAATGATTATAAAGATTCTGATGTACATATACCTGTATATCTGATACACAGTTTTAAATCCTCAGAAGTATTATTGGGATTTAAATTATTCAGTTTTTGAAAAGCTACAGAGTTCATCAAGTTCAGATGTTTTCAATTAGTTTATTATCTTCTTGTCATAGTTTACTGTGGACATCCAGTTTCTGTTCCGTGTTTCCTAGTTGTGAATCAGAACTCCGCAGTTACTCGGCTTTAGGTACAGCAACCCTAGCTTTCAAATAAGGGTTTTTCCCACAGAAAAATGAAGTTTATTCTTCTTTCTCTCATTGAAAATAAGGCCTTTTTTTCTGAGTGCAGTATTTCTAAACTGCTTTGGTTGTAAGATCGGGCCCAAGCCTTTTCCCTCCCAAGATAGTGAAAATTGGTTAACAGATGGCCATGAGAGAAGTAGTTTTCAGGACAACTGCAAAATTACTGGGCACTACATCAATTATATAGAATTAAGACTGTAGCTTGGCTGGCTTTTCATCCTTGTATTGGACCAAATGACCTCTTCTCCAGCTGTGTCCCATTTTTCAAATCCTAACACATGAACCCTGTTAGTCTGAGGTTTAAATAAGTGGGAATCTGTTGCAGGATGTTAGTTTTAAATTATAAGTATACAAACAAAATAATGTAGCTGAAAAACTGAGGAACATTTGATGCCCAAACTGTATTCTTAATTCTTAATAGTACTCTTAAGCAAGAGTTAATTGTTGCAAAAGATTGTGCGTCTTGTTATCCTAGTCATGCTGTTAGAATCCACATTTACAGTAGCCCTGCTTGGTGGCAAATGCACGTACATATCTCAGAATTTTATCTGTAAGAATACAACACTTTATGAAGCCACTAACACTCTGAATACAGTACCTAGTTCTTCTAGATCATAACTTTTATTCTAACTACACTCAGTAAATTTATTTTTTTATTTCTGATTTTCAGTGAGTTAAGAAAGCAAACATTTATTAAACACCTGTAATATAAACTATTTTTAATAGCAAAGCTGTATGTGTTAATACCACATATTCTTATGTACTCCATGAAGATCTCATTTAAACAAATCGATGTCCCCTTGCTGATCAGATATTGCCCTCACTTCTTGGAGAAGAGCATATGTGCTTTCTTCACAATTGGGTCTCTTTCACCTTTTTCTTCTACCTTCTCTTTTTCTTTATTCAGTTTTTACTCTTGTCTAGGCTGGGAAGCATCCCCGTTAACACCTTGGATTTACTGGTTTTGTTCTGAAAGCAGTCCTGCTGTTAACTTACAAAAATCCTTGAGGCAACAGCACTGCCACAGTCAACAGCCCTGTTAACAGGAGATTGCTGGGCCAAGCCACCCCAGTATAAGCGGTAAAACTACCGTGTTGACATCTGCAGTGTCAAGAGAATAATGGGCTTGGACTGGTGTAGCAGTCTGCTGCATACCATTTAAGTGCCTGCCATGTCCAGGAGTCATTTCTGTTCAGTTCGCTCACCACGGATGATAATTGGAACTTTATCCTAAGACCAAAAGTTAAAATGGCTCATTTGGTTTTTTTCAGGTAAACTTAGTCCATCAGTATTAACTAAGTGGCACAAGGCACTTTTCTGACTGCTTTACTAATCCTTATACAGGATGTCTACAATATCAGAATCTGTATTAATTTTATCTGTAAGTTACCGATATATAAAACGTTTCAAGTCATAGTTATCTTCTACAATTTAGAAGTCCAGGTATCTTCGAGTATACATTTTGGCAAATGCGTTTCAGAGTTGCAACTAATTCCATTAACGAGGGTTAAGGATCCATGGGAAGAATGAGGCTTTTCTTCCCTTAGAGCTCCTTGATTAACATAATAACATATTTGAAAGATCTTGACCAAAATGCTCCAGACTCAAACTTTCATGATATTTAATAATAAATAACACTTTGAGATAAAGCCACAGCAGTAGGTATTACTGCTATTAAGAAATAGATTTCTAAAAATTGTCTCCACTCACATATTTGGAGATTGGAGGCAGTATGTAGTCAGAAACAGTTTATTCCAGTTCCTTGAGCTGGTGAATCCATTGTGTGGGTTTTTTTCTTGCATAAGCCATATGAGTTACATGTATTAATTAATTTTTTCCCTTATATTTTCAAACACATTGCTGAAAAGTAGAAAAAGCTTTAATTATAAAATCAGGCAAAGCAATACTATTTGACATCTGTTCTTTAATTTCTGGTTTTTCTTTCTCCATTTAATCTTGCTGCATTTATCTGTGGTGTTTTTAGCTTGTCTTATGCCTTTCTTCCAGAATGTTTTCTTATTTGTCTTATAGACATTGACTTCAATATGTTGCTGTATATTTGTTTAGATCTGTAGCTGGGGAGAGGAATTATGGGATATTAGCATTTGTAATTACTATTCATTCCACTAAATACCTGCCTGTAATTAAGTAGGACTAATGTCTAGGGAAATTGAATCCGTCTGTCTTTCACAAGAAGTGAAATATTGCGTAACACTTCTCTCTTTATGTGCCTCTAAGAGGAAAACATTAGTGTTCAGTAACCACTCTGTGTTGCTTGGTAACCATTAAAACCACAGTGCACCTTTAAAGCATATATCTATTTTGTATGTTGTATTTTTGGAAACTTAGTGCATCAGCACTGTATTCAGACAGAGATGAAGCACTTAAATTTTTCAAGTTTCATTTTCAGCAGAATACTAGGATTGATGGATTTCTGGTTTAATGAGAAGTCAGTTTTCATTTGATATTGCACACTGAAGCATGCAGGTAAATAACTGACATAAGTAATATTTCTAGCCAACTGGAGAACTAATGAAAAAAGTTTGGATTTCTTTCTCAATTTCAAGGTCTAATAAAATTGAGAAATTTTAGCAGTGTGCTAGAATGCATGGAATTTTTCTGTTACAGGAGTAACATTGCAGAGAAAGCATTTGTAAGTTAGTGTGTTTTGCCTATCAAGATAGCCTACCTCAAGTAACACCAGTTTCCTTCTGGTCTATCTTCTTAGATCACAGGGCCTATAGTTCCCATCTGTAATAGTTTTTTCTTTTCAAAGTTTATGGCTCTGGATTTATTTTCCAAGTATAGTACCAAAAATTCTCTCTTCTGTCATTCAAGAGAGAAGCACAAGATTTAATTCCCTTTTTAGGTAGTTTTTTTTTGCCTTATAATGGAGAGTGTACAGTGGTATGGTATATTATAATTCAGGATGTTACAGTTTATCTTTGGTAATGTTTTATAATTGTCCTAATTTTAAGGCAACTGGTTTTCTTAGGACATTCAGTGTTGACCACTTTGAGTATATCACTTGTAGTGAAAGCCAAAATTCTGGCAAATCTTGTAACCCATAGGAGTTGCTCAGCAAGTTAGATACTGAACTGGCCTTTTTGTATGCTAGACCTGAGTTAAATTGAAGTATACAGTTGCTTTATAATGTTCTGCTTGAGCTAATAACTTAAGTCTTGAGACTGCTTTTTCATTCAGCTTTTTTTTTTTTTAAGAAAAGTCTGTAGTGATTCGCATCCTACTACTTATTTTGTATCACACTTTCCAATATTACTGTGTTGTGTTTCTAGCTGTTCATACCTGAGTTGGGTATACTCTAATCAAGTTGAGGACACGCAGAAATAGCGTGATACCTTCAGTTCTTTCATCTTCCCTGTTCTATACCTTGTGTTCCATGATACAGTTGTGTGGAGGTTTGAGGGGTTTTTGTTTGGTTGGGGGTTTTTTAAGACAAAATAAGGCTGGTCTGAAATGGATACAGTTCTTGCATTAAATTTTCTGTCTAGGTTCAAAAATAATAGAGAAGCTGAGGAGAATATTTCTAATCTTTGTTTATATTTAAGCACATTTTTCTGTTTCGCAAACAACTTAAATTCTTTGCTGTGGTTGCTTACACAGCCTGAAGCCCTGTTGAACTACAACTGTGAGTTGTGACTTAAGCATCAACTTTTGGTGCTTGTTTAAGACAATATGGAGTCTTTTGTGGTCATAGATTTCTGAATTTGCGTTTGTTTATACTACCCATTATGCCGTCAGTACAGGGGACAAGCACATGTGCAGTCTGTTAATTTTATCTGCAAAACCCTTTATGACTGTTCAGAGATTTAGTTACAAAACCCCAACCAGCTCCAATTTCAGCTTTCTCTAATATTTTATTAATAAAAAGACTATACACTATGTATCATCTGTCTGTAGTATAGTGTTCTGTAATATACTATAGTATAATAGTACTATTAATACAGCAGTTGAGTAAGCCAAGCATTTATGGTATATTGAATTATACAGTGAATGCTTTTATAGATTGTAATAACCAGTTGGACTACCAGCCTGATTCCTTCTGTGAGTGAGAGCTAAATTCACTGGATTTTAGTAACACAGAGCATGGAAACTTACTCATTTATTAGGGCTGTTCTGCGGAGGTTACAAGGAGAACAGGAAGAGCTGTGCTGGGTCACCTGTACTTCTCTACTGTGTACATACTTATGCAAACAAGTGTAGCTCTTGCTGCTGCATGCCATCGGACCCCTTTATACTATTGTGAAGTTATTGTGCAGGAATCTGAGGTGTTAGATACAGGTAACCTTTGGTATGCTGCACCCTTCATAAATGTAAAGGGAGTCATTCAGTAAATCTCTTGAGAAGACACGTAATTTATACTGTGTTTTAAGTTGCAAATCGGTACTTTCAGATGTAAAATGAAATTGAGTTGTTCCTTTTAATAGGAATAATAATGGTAATATCTGATAATATCTAATTCTTGAAATTTACAAGGGAGAAAGAGGGATGTTCTTTCAGTTTGGTAGTGATGCTCTAAGGTGGTGCTTTTTTGCTTTAAATTTCATTTGAAAGCAATGAATGTAGAAGAAGATGGAAAAAGAGCAGTAGTTTTCACCAGTCAAAAGAAATACTGTGTCAATTATACTAGTCAAAAGAAAGAGCATATGAAAAGGAAACCATTTTAACATCAGATATGGCCTGTGCTTCTGGGATCTGTCAAGCTTCTGAGGAGTTTGGAAGGGGTAAAATGCAATAGTATTGTACTGCTGTGAAAGCAACAACGGTTTGTTGAAAATGCTTCATGAGAACATTAAAGCTATTCTAAGAATTCTCCTTATCACACAAGAGGGACTATCTCTAAAATGTCCCTTGACATTAATATGCCATTAATATAATGTTAAGTCTGCACAGAAATCTTACATTTATTTAGGTAAACTAATGCAGGACTAAAATTAGACTGTTGGATTTGCCTTCAGTTGAGAGCAGATGTCTTGCTTCGAAATCCTGTCATAAAAAATTATTTTAAGAAGAAAGGGAGGAAAAACAAGGAGGAAAACAAACATTTCAATTCCTTTCGTTTTCCAGGTGTCCAAAACTGCCTGTAATGAGATAGCCTGTATGAAACAACACATATTATTTCATGATGAAAATCATCAAAAGTAACAAAAAGTAGACATGAAAAACATTTTAATACATTAGGTATATGAAATTAATAAGTTAACATAAATAAAATCATTTATTCTAGTCTTCTTAATACTTACTAACATAGAGACCATGGTGTGGTTTGCTGTTGATAGAGAAGGCTTATGGTGTGTCATAGGATTAGAGAGTAAAAGAGAAAGGGGCAAGGGTGATAACTGGTGAAGTTACTAAAACATGTTTTCATATAGTAAAAGAAACAGGCACAACTTATTGAAAGGGAAGGATGATATCTCTGAAGATGCCATCCTTCATATGGCATTGTTGAAGCTGTCTGTGTTTCTTCTGAACTCACTGCTGCTGGAACTATTGTAGTAAAGGTCTTTGGACTTGGACCTCAAAGTTTATTCCATCTAGCTATGTAATGTAAATTGGGAACTGGAGGTACTTAAGCAGTTCTATGTGGCTGTTGACAAGTGAATAGAGAATACTTTTATAGGGAGGTGTCTGGTAGAAGAGGATTGATCTATTTGAAAAGTTACTTAGCCATGCTAACCAGTACAACAGTGTTGAGCCCTTCATCTCCTCATTCTTAGCAAAAAGTTTTCTTTTGTTTATCAAGCCTCCACTTAGAAAACTGTTGGAACATTGAATTTATTGTACACTTCATTTGCAGGAATCCTCATGGACTGTGAGAAAGGCTCAAGTAATAGCAGATATGAATCTGGGAAATAGAATGTTGTCAAAACAGAGCTTCCAGTGGGCATAAAATTGTTTTATTTAATTTTTGGCATAAATCATAATTGTCCTATGTGAGGTTTTTGTCCAACCAAGTAAAAACAAGCTTCCTGTTTTTAAAAAACCCACTAAAAAACTAAGAGGAAGAGCTTATCTTCTCTGTAGTAAAATTTTTGTCTAATCTATTTGTACTTTTTTTTTTAATCCACTTGAGTATAGTGGCTGAAAGGGGTTATTACAGCTTGCAAGGAAGATCATTTGTAACAATATAGAAACGAAGAATTTAATTTTAAGTAAAATTTCATTGCTCAAGAATTTGTAGCTCTTTTTTTTCTTCAGAGATACCAGCTTTCTATCTGCTACTGCAGACAAACTGCTTTTTGCTGATAATTCTAGCTACTAATTTTCTTCAGAGATTGGAGTTTCAGGGGCTAGATTTTAAATCTTTCCACATGTAGAGAGGTCAGTAAAGGAAAGTAATTTCTCCGTGGCACCACAGTTCTTGGAAATGAACTGTCTTAAAGGCTCGTGTTTGACAAACTTGGGTACTGATTCCTGGGTGAAGAATTTTAGATGCTTAATTCAGCTCTGTGGTAGCCAGAGGAATTGAATACAGCACATGCACATATCTTTGCAAAATTAGTTACCATAATTAGTTTGCATCATACATACAAATGCGTGTCTTGGTTGTTGAAGAGGTGATTACACTGCATAAATATAACTTGGTATGTCATATAGGAAAGTACTGTGGGATACAAGCACAGTTTAAACAAGCCATATTTTTATTTTAATAACATTTTAAAATATTGACCAATGAATTCATGAGAGTAGGTTTTGATTCTCTCACTGTTACAACAAATTCTCTTTGTTTTGTTTTTATTTAGTTTTGTTGTTTTTTTAACAAACTCCTTAAGGATGGGTACAGAATGTTAAATTCAATAGCTGTGGTTGGTGTTAAAATAGATGATGATTATACGTGGAATTCTTTAAACAAGTCCAATGTGAATGCTCCTGGGTTTTTTCTTATGCATGCAAGCTGAGTTCTTTAATTTCTAGTGTATCACTGTCTGAAAGTCTTCTGTAAGATTTATTAACTCTACCCTTCCCCTTCCTGCTTTTTAGGTCAGAGATAGCAAATTGCCTACTTGCAAGGAATACAATAAAAACCCCCCGTTCCCTACGTTTTTTGCTGATGGAGATGAAAAACTACCAGAAGACCTTTTTGATGAGGAAATCTTCCAGTTCACGGATCCATCTGTCACGTATACATAATGTTCTTCACATCTTTGAAAACACACAGTTTCGTTATTTTCATGAACTTTGCAATTCTGTATGAAAGAAAACCTATGAATTGCAGTCTGGCCAACTGACTTAAACACTTCAGATATTGTCATTTTGGTCAGGTAATTGGATTTCCCACCATCAATTTCAAACCTGTACTTAAAGCAACCGGTGAATCTGAGGGACAGGTTGTAAAGCACACCAAATAGCATGTTTTCAGTGAGCTTTTGTCCTTTGCCTCAGGCTGTGAAAACTTACTCATTTCTGAAAAACTGTTGTTTTGAGATGGTTCCAGTTCATTTTCTAAATGCTAACAAACTCTGTTTCTTTCTTATGTAAAGTATTCTGGGCAACTCTGATCAATCAAAAAACGTTCCAAATCTGCCTTAGCATCTAGGGGAGGAGATGTGTGGGGAGAGGAGGCAGGGGAGATCTGTGAAGAATAATCCAAAATAAAACAAGAAAACACATTGCTCTGCAGCAGCACAAGCTTGTTTTGCTTCCTTCTTTTCACCAGAGCTCTTTTTCTTCTTTTGCTTTAACGTTGTGTTGAGTTAATGGTAGCAGATACCCAACAAATTTTCTAGAGGGAGGGTGATGCTGGCCATGTGTAGGGTGAGGGGGTGTTCGGATGGGAAACGTTCAGTAACAAAGCAGCACTAAGACTGCTGGGGCCACCTGTTTGGAACTTCACAGAGGGTCCCTTGAATGCTCTCTGGAGAAATATCTCCACGCCTACCATTGTCTCTGTATTGGATTCTTAAGCTGGTACAGGAGAGCTATTACTAAGAAAGGTAAAATGTGAGGGATTTGTCTTAATGATAGTGCTCATTTTTCTTCTACCTGACCTTTCGGTAGTAGGTGGAATCATTAAGCTCCTTTTATTTTTCATCTTGTGTGATTTACTATTTATATGTTTGATCTTTTGAACACTGTAAATCCTCTCACCTACAGCAGTAAGTACCTGCCTGTCTGTACCATCTGAGCACTTACAAGTCCTACAGTAGTTCAAGAATTTACATACAAATTACCATTAATACTGTGGCAGTGCTGTCTACTCATCTTTGCAGCTTCATCACAAGACATCAAGTACCTAAAGTAAATGAGATTTCTCAAGACCTTACTAGTACTACCCAGTTTAAAAGGTGACATCTGTACCTTTGTGGTGACTTCCAATCAAGATTTTTTTTTTTTTTTGTGATTGCTTGAAGAAACCACATGCCATCTTATAAGGGCTCTGTATAGCTGCTGACTTGTAGTAGACTGGGAGTGATCATTAGAGAGGGTAGTATGCAAATATGAACTGGTGTATATCTGCATTGTAGGGTATCCTCTTTGCTCAATTCAGTTGAATATAAAATGTGATTCAAATAAGTGCACCAGAATGCTGAAGAAACAGCAGCCCCTTCATGCTTCCCCTTCCCATCAGTCACACCAGTTCTGCAAGTGCAGACAGCACACACACAGAGCACACGTGATGCAAAAAGCAGGTAGGAAATACGAAGTGGGGTGTTGTGTTTTGGCTGTGATACTAGTAGTGAGTGACATCTCTCACCTGTTTCAGATAGTTGCTGTTTCCTGAGGAGGAGATTGGTTTTCAATCTCCTGATTGCAAAATAGATTTTTAAAGTTGCAGCTTTTCAAGTTTGCTTGTTGTGGAACACACGTAAATCAGGGAGTGTCCAGATATGTAGCCCACTGTTCTGCTCTGGTTTAGGGGATAATTCTGACACACACATGCTTTCCTTGAGGAGCTTTGTTGTTGGTTTTTTGTTTTACTTGGTAATTGATCCTGGACTATGACAGAGATGACCATACAGAGAGTTATCTTTTCCTATTTGGTTTCTCAGCCAGAATATCCTGGATGTGGGATCCTCTCCTGTGACTAATTGTATTTTGGGTTTACTTTCAGCGTATGTCTTGCAAAGTCCAAAGAATCAATTGTGAGCTCAAAGGGAGCCACAGGTTTATAAAAGTAAATTAAGGTGAGCTCTGTATCAGGTATTATTTCAGTGTGAGGGGAAAATTGACAACCTACTTCAATTCCAGTTTCTTTAGTAAGAGAATAACTTCTCCCTTTTTGGCATAAACAGAGACATTCCAATGATCTGTTCACATTACTTTTTAGATTCATTGTCCAGGAGATGACTACAGTCATTCAGGGAATTCTGTACTTAATGTTGCCTTCCCTTTGTTCAGTTTTAAAATTTCTGTTGAAACCTATATACTATCAGAGTAGTCTTTTCAGTTTTGCTTTTGAAATGCATGATGGGTGTGAGCCATATGATTTTTTCAGATGCTGCTTATGCAGGTCTCTTTTTTTGTTGAGGTGTGCAAGTGAGACGTTTTCCATCTTAGTTTATCAAGAGTGCTTGAGCACCAAAGACAAGAGCTGTCATAGCTCAAGACTGATGTCCCAAAGGTATTTTCAGTAGAGCAAATGCAGTGAGATGGATAAGATCTGTCAATGTGAGTTCAGAGTAGTGCAATATAGATTGGAACATTAGACCTGTTCTTCCATCAGGCGCTGAAAGGCTTATAGTGTTTTGTATTTAATTTTCCTTATACTCCCCATATAAAAAGTGTACTGCTTTCCTGACTAACGAAGGGACTTGGAGCCAGAGAAAGGCAGGCTGAATTTATTTCAAGGAGCAAAACTGTTCAGAAGTGTAATGGCACCAAATGCTTTAAACCCATCTACAAATTTGTTCTTAGAAAAGGGTGCTTGATGAACTATTTTTAGACATTATCAAAGGTGCTGGAGCTGAGTATTCTTCTTCAGTGTGGCTGAAGGTTGTGGCTAATCGAGCAGATGTGCTTTTAAGAGTCATATAAAAGCAGACAAAAGTAGGCAAATATCAGGTCCTCATGTTTCCAGCAGTTTCTCATGCAAAAGGATGTGTTTACTGAAAAGGCAAACTAAGGGCTCTGTTGCAAGTAGATACCTGTGTGTTTTGTTGCTGTGTCTTGAGTAATGAAAGTTTAGAGCCGTCAGGCAGCATTTCATCAGGCAAGCAAGAATAGCAACAATAAAAATAAGTTCTTATTCCATATTACCTGTATATTATTAAAGAAGAAGGACCTGAACGTGTAACCAGGAGTCTGAATCCTGTAGGACAACATCCTGTGTTGCAGTCTGACTGAGGAAGTAATTGCTGGCAAGCTCTGTTACCACAACTTGTGAAGACTGCCATGAGGTCTCCCCAGAGACTTCTCATCTTCAGGCTGAGCAACCCCAGCTCTCTCAGCCCATCTCCATAGTGCTCCATGGTGCTCCAGCCCTCTAAGCATCTTTATGGCTTTTCTCTGGACTCGCTCTAGCAGTGAGTTCTATGTCCTTCTTGTGGTGTGGGTGAGGTGCTGAGCTGGGGTTTGCATGTCCAGGAGCTCGGTACACCCTCCTTAGGCTGTTCTGTTTGTTCGGGTTAGTGGGGTGGTTTTAACGTCACTAACATGCTCCTTTGGAGGAGGATGTAGGGTTAAGCTTTAGCTGTACCTGTGGCTTTATGGCATGACTGCTCTGAAAATTGAATTCTCTTCAACAATAACCCCTCTCAGTGGTTCTGTAGTAGTACATGAATAAACAGTGTCAAGCTTACAATATAAGTTGAAAGTAAAAAGACAGCAGGAAGAGGAAATCAAAACACTCGTCTATCACTTGACAACATAATTGCAGTCATTGATGATAAACAAGGAGAGTTTATTTCTCTTCAAATACAATACTTTTACGTACCATTGCTCTGTCATTATATGAGGCCAATAAACATTTTTGTTTACCATTTTCACTTCATGTGGAAAAATGTCTTTTATTCTGTTAGCATTTAACAAATATTATTCTGGTAAACTGAAGGGATGACTAGAGTTTGCATGTAAAAATTCTGCCTTCCTTACTGTTTCCTTACAGAATTCAGGAAGTCCTGGAGGACTTTGATGATCTTAGAGGTCTTTTCCAACCTTAATGATTCTATGACTGGAAGAAAACTGAACAGGATGTAAACTGTGAGGGGGTCTGACCCGTGTAACCCACCTGCCTCCGCGATGCCCAGCAGCTGTGAGCCCAACACCCCCAGCCAGAGGTTTTGCACTGGCAGGCTGATGCCAGCCCTGCACACAGGGCTCTCCTGTGATGCCAACTACTTACTATTTAAAGGAAATTGCTGGCCCCATCCTAGGGTGCCTCATAAAGTCTGGCTAATAGAGAAGTCCAATAACCACAGTGAGGACATTGGTGGGGTTCATTAATTTTAGCAGTGCTGTGTCTGTAGCTATCACTTGGCTTGGATCATTCCCCTGATTTATGTCATTCCCCCATCTCCTTGAGATTTCGTGTGAGGAGTGCCTTGGTTTCCTAACTGTAAGCATTACTTGTATACAATGTCTTCTCATAATTAGCTCCTGTGCCCTTCAGTGCACAGGTAGTGCTTATTAATTGCCTTTAATGAGCATCTCTCACCTGCAGCAAATTGCCCTGCTCTGTTGCACACCTTAGCATGTAGCATAGCGTAGTATGATTTATTTATATAACATGCTTAAGGACATTTAGCAGCTGTAAAATGATGCATAAATGTTGACCTTGGTCTTGAGTATTTACTGGTTTTGGAGACAGCGTGGAGGAAGGGAGGAATTCCTCTGGGGGAGGAGTTTAAGTTGATTGCACTTAGCCTTAATGCTATCACACCAGAAAAAGAATTCATTTCAGTTGGTGCAGTTCTGCTGTTCCTGACGTGTGGCAGCAAAACAGATAGACAGATGGCAGCTCTTCCTGAGGAGTATGTACAGCCAAGTTATGGTATCAGGTAGGAAAGGGGTACATTAGGACTGATAGTCTCTAAATAATTGCAGCCTGCTGACTTACCTCATGCAGTACCCAGAAGGACATGTGATATGACACTGGTTCAGTCCCCAGCCATTCTGTCGGTGCACTCTTCCTTGCACATCTTCCCCTGGTTTTACAGAAGTGTGTGTGTGGTAAGTGTGAATTTGCCGACTGGAGTGGGCATCACAAGGAAGATTTCCAGCAGCATCATAACATCCTAGTTCTCTCTGTCTCACTTCCCTCATTCCAATAGGCTATTACATATGGGGTCCCAGCTGTGTGAATGGTTGATGAGCCATGGACTCATTTCTGTTTGAATGCTGAAGACCTGAGGTACATTCTTACTTTCTTTGATTGCAGTGACACCTAGCTACTGCCCGTGATGAATTAAAAATCACTGCTTGTGAATAATTTCATTTGGGGGTTAAATTAATGTTCCCTTTCATGGCAGTAACTTTGAGCACTAGAACAGAACCCAGAAGAGACAGTCAGCTGAGGAAACGAGTGCAGTTTTCAGTATGAATGCAGAAAATGGCTTGAATTATTTGCTGTAATCTAATGAGTTTACGCTGGAGATGGAGCCTTCTGTGCTGTGGTGCTTATTGCTGCTTCTCAAATTCCTGTGTGTAAAATTTTCTGGCATAAACCATACATACTGAAGTCAAATCAT